GAGCTGGGAGATTGGGCTCCTGTGTTGTACACATGCCCTACCAGAACGTAATACCATTACTCGTTACTTCATCAAAACGTAACATAAATAAATTACACCGTTCCCCCCTCCTCTTTTTTTTTAAGTAACTATGTCGTTAGTTACTGAAAAAGTAACTATAGGTAAAAAAAAAAAAAAAAAAAAAAAACTCGTTACGCACAAGTTTGTCCGAGAGTGGCGAGTATGGTTGGCTTTCCCTTGAACACGAGCTTCACCCGAGTTTCCCGTAGCTAAGCTTGCCTTGGCGTTCCTTTTCACTCGAGCCCCTCCCTCTCTTTCTCTTTTCATTTATTTATTTCAAATACTGCGGGTAGCAGGCAGGAGAGGGGGGTTACATCAGGTGTTACAAAACAAGATGCTCAAATGTAATCAAGCTTTAAACAAGTAACATGCAATTCCACTATTCAATTGTGTTAGGTAAGAACGATTTTTGAAATAATTAAGTTCTGGCGAATGGTTGAACCACTTTAGATGGGTTTAGTCTTGTTGATCTGTGAGGTGCAGGAAATAAATATGTTGCACTTGATGAGCCAAATCTGTTGTGAACGAGTAAATACATAAATTTTAGCCTGGCGATTTGTCGGAGCGGCTCCAGTTCCAGCAGCTCTGGCATACTAGTTTTGATGATCGATACTCTGAAGGGATAAACCGAGCAATAAGACGCTGGATACGCTCCACCTCCGTAACGTCTTTAATGAAGTATGATTCCTATATGATTGAGGCGTACTCCTGGACTGGTTGGGCTAGAGCTCGGTATGCTTGAAGCTTGGGCATTCGAGGGACGCCCCTTTCATTTTCTTCGTAGAAAGCACAGCTTCTTGAATGCCTAGAGCATGTAATTACTTCACAGAAGAAACAATCCGAATGCACTGATGCCCAATGGGTCAAGTGTACGGGAAGGGATTTTCCTTTGTTGAGACAGTCATCGCGACTGTTTGGGAAAGTTAATTTTTATACTCAGCAGTTCTCACCAGTCCGCAAGTCTACGAAGATTGTAATACAGCTATGTCTGACAGGAAGCATTCGTGAAAAATTTGACGGTAACACTTTCATCAATTTCTTTGGCAATGTTATCTCTATAAATTAAACTTAGTAAAGGCTCAAGCACGGAGCCCTACGTCACTCCACACAAAACCTGTAGGTTATCAGACCTAGACCCTTTACATTCAACAAATCACGTCCAATTGTGTAGATATGCCTATATCAAAGGAACAAGCCTATCAGAAAGTCCCGCTTCTTTTAGTCTTTCAATTAGCAAGTCATGAGGAACACGATCGAACGCTTTCGACAGATCTAAAACACAAAAAAAAAAAAAAAATAGCATCAATTTGTTGGTGGTTGTCCATCGCTGCGGCAAAGTCGTGGACTACAGATATTAGGTGTGTTGTTGAAGAAACATTTCTCCGGAATCCGTGTTGATTTTTGCTAAAAAAAGTTAATGGACTCCAAGTAGTTGGAAACATGATTAGCAAATATGTGCCCAAGAAGCTTGCAGCAACTTATTAAGGATATGTGTCTGTAATTGCCAAAGTCTAATTTGTCTCCTGTTTTCAATCCAGGGACTACTCTAGTTGTTAGGTAGAAAAGCATTAGGTATACCGTCAGGACCGGATGATATCTTGGCTTTAATATTCAACAGAAGTGAAAATATGCCCTCACGGCTTAGTATCACGTCAGACATTGAACCAGGGCTTGGTGAAGCTACATAATTTGAATTTTGAATGGTAAGGAATTTCGACTTTGTAAAGGCTCTATGAAAACTGGCATTGAATTCATTTGCAATGTTTTTTTTTGAAGATTGAAAGTTCTACTACCGTCCATTCTTGGTTGGTCCAAGAATCCCTTAAAAGTCAGAAAGAAAGCGCCAAAACTTTTGTGGGGATTCTTTGAGAAAAGTCGTCAGAGTTTGGCCGTAAAATCTGTCTCGTGTGGTGCGTAGCTTAGACAGCAGCTCGTCATTGAGAGCGTTCATCTCCGAGTTACTTTTATGTATGACTTCACGTTTCCGTGCGACTCGTTACTTTTAGGTGATCCATGGCTTCCCATTTGCGGCGGTTCAAGTTCTTTTCCTTCTTATTGGCGTCGCATTTATCCGCAGCATTGCAACAGCCAACGCGCATGACTATAAGCACCTTTCGAAGGAGTATTAATGACGTCTTCCAGTCTTTCCGTCCTGCTGCTTTGCAGAGATGGATAGATGGATGGATAAAGGGCGCTGAACTCTTTTAATCGGGCGGCGACTCGCGCCACCTAGCCAAAGCTTTAATTTCAAGAATTAATAAAAAAAAAAATTAAAGACGTTTACAACACCCTGTAACGCTGAATTAGAGCACAGCTCTTGAGGAAGAGGAGGGAAGGGTACTGAGGGGAAGGTATATCCCTCCTCCTTCCCCCTCGCCTCCTCATCCTCCCTGCTACTCCTCCTCCCCTTCTCCCTCCTCTTCCTCCTCCTCCCTCCTCCTCCTTCACCTTCTTTTCCTCCCCTCATCCTTCAAGCTCCTCCCCCGTCTCCTCCTCATCCTCTCCTCTTCCCTTCTCCTCTGCCCCTCCTCCTCCCATCCTCCCTCTCCCCTCTCCCTCCTCGCCGTCCTCCTCCTCCCCCTTCCTCCTCCTCCTCCCCGCGCGGTGCATTATGGGACATTTCCCATAATGCACCGCGCGGTTACGCCGACGCCGACGGCGACGCCGCTCAAGCCGGAAACAAGCGCCTAAGAGCTGCCCTCTAAAAAAAAAAAAAAGATTAATAAAGTACAGCACCAGAGTAGGCACGCCACCCAGCGGAAACGACTTGAAGGAGAGAAGCCGGGAGCTACCGCAATGGGAACCAGAGAAAAGGGGATTACATACACAATCGTAAATTTTGCGCTACAAATGGCGTTATTTCTTTTTTTTTTTCTGCGCCGGCAGCAGCGTGACGGTCCTGGTTTCAGTGCCTATCAACCTGGCAAAAAATGATTAGTTAGAGTAGATTTCAGAGAGGGAGCCACTTAAACTATGGGGATTCGTCAGTGGGATCATTGCGTATTGGCGAAAAACGACAATCGGCTGTTTACAGCTGGGTCATTCCATACCGAAGGAGACGCGGCGATTTTTTATGTCTGGGATATGCATGTAAAACATAATTTGGATAAAGAAGCCTCTCAACCTCAGGAAAACTATTTTTTTTAAATAAATTTCATTTTTGCTAATATCATGTTTAATTTTTTTTTGTTTTTGGAATTTGCTTAGGACGTACAACTACGGTATGTACCAAAAAGGAAAAAAAAAAAGTTCGGTGGGCCCCTATTTACTTAAAATATGCCCTATTTTACACTAAAATACACACACTGAAGGGCTCTACTTATATGCCCGACGGTACTAATTTTCACGAGCGCCGAGTGCAACAACTTATTAAAATAGCTAATGCACATGTTAAAAATAATAATTGTGGTTTCCTTGGCTCTACTCGAAACCTGTTTTTAATTAGCTTTTCTGCAGTTTTTGATACGTAGTTTAGCTGCTTAATAAGTTATATCGCACCGTTATCAAGCCCCTCGTTAAATTTGGGGCCGTCTGTTCGACTATAGTGCGTTGTACGTCGAATTAAAGTTTTGGGGTACATTATATGCGGCAAAATGGTGTAAGACGACACCTTTCTTTAGAGTACAAATAGGAGCTCGCTCCAAAAATATGACTGATATTTCTTGCTTTTTTAGACAGCTTGAAGTCTGGTGTTAGCTACGGTACATTTTTTTTTATTTCTTTTCCTAAAACGAATAATTTAATTGCTTGTATGAAATTTTCGAAGCCTAACTTTTGTTGCTTTTTAATTGAATGACGAAATCTCCCGTTTATGCAGAAACGGCCATACTGAGAGCCAGAAAAAAGCAATCTGGGCAACGGTGCCCGCAACTTTCGAAATTGCCAAATGTTGAATTAGCCTTATCTGTTAAAAGATATATATAAAAAAAATCGAATAGTGCTTGTTCAGACTTGTACGTAAAATCCATGTACGTGTCCCAACCACGCGCGACACGCGTGTCCCAACCAGACTGTTAAAAAAAAAAAAAAAACATTTATTTTTCTTTTCTTTTTAGGCGCTCTTTAAGTGTTCTAAGGGGGAGTTATTTTTAAATGAAAAAATCGACATACACCAGCGTTCTTTTTTTATTCATCAAAATAGATCTGTATAATGCTTCGTCCGATTTACGCGTCACATTCGTCTGTAACGTCGAATTTCTGCACCCTCGCCCTCCTCCAAGCCCGATCCCTAAATCCGATCCTGGTCGCGACTTCTGGGCACCGGTCTTCACTCTCGTATCTTTCGTCTCTGCGACGCGTACCATTTCTGTGGCATTGACTTTGCCCTACCAAAAGGAGCCGTCTTATCATCGCCGTCTACGCGGCCATAGTCCGGCGGAGGATTCGTCAGCAGGCTTGCGCATTGGACCAAGGTCGCACGTGCCTTGGAAGCGATAACCTCGACGGGGTGGGGCTCCTTGGCGAGCCCACTTTCCTCCATTGCTCGAACACTGAGATAAAACAACAACAACAACAACAAACCTACAAAACAAAGAAAAGCAATGCTCAAGGTCAATCTGAAAGTCAATATTTTCCCCCGACTCGGGCTTCGAACTACGGCGTTTTTTAATTTAATCCTCTGCGCACATTTACTCGCCATTTAATTTCCCTAACGTTTTTCTTTTCTTTATTTGGAGGAGGAGGGGGGGGGGGGGGGGGTGTCGTTGATAGCGGTGATCAGGGAGTTTTCTTGAGTCGTTTCCGCTGTCCCTTAACGTTCTCCGCAACCTGTTACGGAATCCGGAACTCTGCAGGCAAAGCTAGCGCCGCGCATGCGCAGTAGTGGCGGGTCTACAAAAAATTCCTACTGTGACTCTGTCCCTGTTTCGCTGTCCGCTCGCGGCAACTTTGTTGCGTCTTTCGACTCCCCGCCCATGCCTGGACGACGTTTCCTGTTTCAGGCTGAAGTCCACGGGCGGAAACCCGAAGCTGACGACGAGCTATGTGTACGAGCCCTGCGAGTTCACGCTGTCCGAGGGCACCTTCGGGGCGCACATCGACTCCACGGCCGCCCAGTGGGGAAACCGGACCGGCTGGGTGTTCATGAACGAAAGTCTAGAAGTGACCTTCGCGGAGTACAAGAAAGACGTGAGTTCCAGCCCGCTACACGTATTCTCTTTGCCGGACACCGGACTTCTCAGGGAGGAAACCTAAACAAACGCATCTACGAGTTTTTTTTTTTTTAGTAACTTTTCTTTTGTCTTTTCTATTTAAGCCTCCCGCAGCATAACTGTAGTAGGCACCATTCTGCACTGTCGCCGGACCGTTTTCACATTTTACCCCCTCTAAATTTAGCGAAGAAATGCACGTCACAGACTTTTACACCGCTTCAATTTCCTCGCTAAATTTAGCGGGAAAATTGAAAACTGACGTTTTGCGTAGGTCACGTGACGTTGGGTCACGTGACTTGTGCATCAGGTCGGTTCTTCCCGCTAAATTGAGGGGGAAAATGGATAAAACAACAACATCAACAACAGGCTCCTCACTTCTCGAAAAGACTGTTTGCAAATCTTGGAAACAACCCTAAACGATCGCTCCTTAAATACTGCATTTTATAAATTAAACATCAAAAATGAAAATCGCTGCCATATTTTTTAATCCGGTTTTGGGAGAACCTTTTTTTGAGGTTTCAGATAAAGCTTCGGATAACTGGAAACAATGATTTAAGAACCCGCTTCAACAAACGATTGAGTATGCTATAGCTCCTCCTCTCACTACTGAGGTTTCTTTCTGACAGCCTACTACACGGGTCTCGAACACGCGGCTCGCTGGGACGTGGCCTGCAGACAAGCGGCTGCGAGTCACGCTTCCCATGTCTTGAGCGCTAGAAATGACATGCGCCATAGTGATCTCATCTCGCCGATTCATTTTCTTTCGTGAAGTCGATTCGCTCTTTTAACGTATTTATATAGTTTTTACTTATCTTTATTCATTTGCCCTTTGTTTCGCTTCATCTTCTACTTCCGAGTTTTTTTTTTTATAATGTACCACTATTCCGCTGCTAGACTGCAGGCTCGAGCTCTTTGTTGAAGGATGCATCACGGCTGCGCGAACTCTCGATCAGCAGGAAAAACTGCTGAGAATCAAGCTACAAGCTCGAAATTCTCACCTTAAAGAAAAAAAAAAAATCACGATTAAAAGACAAGTATAGGTATTGTAATCGAACGCGCCAGGAAAGCAAGAGCTGTCAAATGAACTGATGGTTTTTCTAGACACATGTTGAGCTTGCTTAATTCCTGAGTGAATTGAGCAACGGGAACGACAGTGTACTTGCTCTCTTGTTCTATTAAAAATGCGAGAACGTTGGCGGGGCGGTGTCATTTTAATTATTTTTATCACATCAGGTCATGGCCCCAAAGTAGTCATATAAACAAATGAAATATAAAAAAATGTCACTGTCGAAACTGCGTTTACAAAAAGCATAGAACACGAGGTCTCATCTCTTTTAAACCTTTTGACACCCCCCTCCCCTCCCCCTCCTCCTCCCCCGTCAAAAGTTGGCCCTTGGCCTTCTCAATGTTAGGTATCTGGCCCCCACTCTCAAATGAGTTTGAGACCACTGGCCTACAATATACCGCGAGGTTGCTCGCCGCGTCGAAATCGATTTACTCCATGAGCCCCAGGATCGTCAAACACAAAGTTGGAGCCGAAACGCGGAGCGCGCTGTTTGGACGTCGGCGACAAAAGCGCACAGTCATCGTCGGGATAGTCCAATCAGCGCGAGCAGTGAACTTCGGCCCCAGCTTTTGTGTTTGACGAGTCGAGAGACCCTGGTCTGCTTCCCTGTATGCTGTCACAGCGAGATAACTGCGTTCCGAGAAAAGCAAGTCTTGACGACTTTGGGGAACCTATAGGTGCTTCGGCGGTGTTCTTTGAGCACGCAATCGAACATGAATTAATCTCAACCGGGAACAAGTCACCGGAATCATAAGCACTGATAATTCCTTCCAACATTTAGTGACCCTGCTTGGAACGTCTCGAGGCTTTTTGCATACAACGACTGTGCAAAAAAAGAAAAAAAAAAGAAAAAAAAAACAAAAAAAACTGGTACAATATTTTTTAATCTTGTGCAGCATAAGGCCACTTCGACACCGCACTTCAACTGACATCCATTTTATTTTTTTATCTTGGCGTACGAGCGTTGTTGCAATCGGAGACCGACAAAATCGCACCACGTGAAACGGGCTTCCGGTACGAAATGTACGAGACGGCGCCACTGAAACCACTCTCATCTGCTGTATCGGCACTGTGATTCATCGGCGTCTCTAAAACGGTGCTCAGTTAACACTGGTTTAGCACTGCGCTGTATCCACGTGGACTCTTTTATTATTCTCTTGCACACCTCCAATAAACTAACTGAAACAAACAAGCAAAAACACACACGCAGGAGTGATGAAAAATGTTCTAAAATACAGAACGTCGCTGCACACTCCAGCTACTTCTACACGTAATCACTGCGCAGATGATTATGGTTCTCATCATGACATGGCACAAGCTTTCGGATTCCCTTCTCAAAGAAGGTCCCCGCCTGGTTTTAACAGGACCATCGGTCGCCCAAGGACGTGTAATGTATATGGAGGAAACCGCATGGAGGGATTCGGGGAGGATGAACAGACGGTGGGGGCCAGGGAAGAACGTCTGTGGCGACTGGTGGTCTTCAGTGTTGCCAGATGGTCCCACCGAAAACCGCCAAACGACTGGGAGGTATAGCCCAAATATAGCCAAAGCCGTAAAAAAACTATAGCTGAAAATAGCCAAGATTAAAAACAATGATTTTTAAGCCTTATGTTCACAATTTCTCACATTCATACAATACACCTTACAAACTCTGTTTCAACCCTCAGATGCACCAACTTTTGTGTACATTATGTTACTCATGAATTAAAAAAAAAAAAAGCTTCGGAAGGATGAAATTTGTACAGAATCGGCCCTTCCTTCGGTTTTCAGAAGTACAAAACACACAAAGACAGCTTTATTGTGAAGCTCGGGAGATATGATCATACAGAAAAGAACGGAAATACAGAAGCAGAACAGTAAGAACACTGGTTATTTAAAACCAGAACCCAAAATCTCAGGTCCTTACCAATATCTCACCCGTCTCCTTTTCTTTGTGAAGGATATTAGTGTCACCCATTCATGTTCACGTTATTTCTGATTGTGTTGTCTTTTCTTGGCGTGGGCAACGACTGGAAGGTAGTCATGTGTTTAGCGGTGAAACTGCGGACTTCTCATTTTTACAAACTTGGGTGCCCAAAGATTCTTATAATGGCCACTAAAGCAGCATTTGGAGAGTTCAGTCTACGACCGGGCAGAGCCATATGCGTCTGGGTTGAAGGCGCGCTACCGTGCCTGTGATAATAGTGCAATCTGTATGGTTTGCTCCACTGCGCTCTAGGGAGACCGCTTGAACTCTGAAAGCATCGCTTCACTCTCCTCTCGACTAGGCAAAAGAGAAACAATTTTTTTCGAAACTGACTAAAAGTTCGAAAATTAACTAGCCGAACCTCAAAGTTCGGCGTCGAACCCGAAGTTTGACAAAAGTTCGCTGCATTCTTAGAAATAGCCCAAAATAGCCACATAGCCAACCACGAAATGTTGACGCCAACTAGGAAAACGTGTAGCCCAATTTGGCTATATATAGCCCAATCTGGCAACACTGGTGGTCTTGTTGAACCCGTGATGGGATTACTGGGAACCCAGGCGCCAACCTTCCTTGAGAAGGGAATTCAAGAGATTGTGCCATGCCATGATAAGTGCCTAAATCGGTGTTTATGTTTTGTTTTGTTTATTGTAACTTTTGGCAATACAGGATTGTCGTGGTGCTGAGGCAAAAGGTGACAACAAGTCACCTGACCAGGCCCCTAGCATCAGACTACACTTGCAGCAGATGCAGCAGGCAGACGAGTAGTACAGTACTACTACAGTTAACCATAAAAAAAAAACACAGATAGTAACTAGGTCATACACTACATATGCTCTTGCAATGAAAAAAATAAACAAGCAGCAATATACAACAAAAATATATGACCTAGATTACTACAATTAAATCTGTGCACATAATTTAGAAGACAACAATATTGTGCGGAAAGTAGAAAATATGTTTTTGATTGTTTTCTGAAAGTCAAAAGGTTTGAATTATGATCGATTTCATCGATTAAACCAGGATGGAGGTTGAGAAGGTTAGGAATATAAGATGGTAATTGCGTACCGTAATTCGTTCTAGTTCTGATTTTTATAAAGTTTATAGTTCTAGAATTGTAGTGTGCATAAGTATTCGTATGTGTAAAAAAGAATAGTTCACGGTCAGTTTTAGCTTGGAAAAATATAACCTCAGACAATCGGTGATTATACAGTGCCTCGATATTGAGTATACGATGTTGTTCAAAGTATTGGGATGTATGATCACGGTTTGATAGGTTTTGAATAGACCGTATACCTTTTGTCTGGATTAAGTACAAACTAGTCATATTACATTTAGATGTAACCCCCAAATAAGTAAACAATAGTGCAGTCGCGAATGAACAGTAGTGAAGTAGAGCTGACGCTTTAGCCATATTGGTAGTAAGGCACGAAATATATTCAGCATACCAATAGATTGTGCATTGTTACGCTTCACAAAATTTACATGACATGTCCAGTGAAGGTTTTCATGAAAATGTATGCCTAAGAATTTGTATTCGTTAACCCTTTCTTTGACCGTGACTGAAATACTATTTCGGTAGTAAGGTTTACTGGTCTATTAAGTGAAGAAAAAATATATTTTGTTTTGTTAACATTTAGAAGCAAGTGATTGGCATCAAGCCACTCCGATAAGTTTTTTAGCCATGTGTTTGTGACATGAATAAGAGAATAGGTCCCTAAACAAAAAGAACAAAAAAACACTCGTGTTATTGGCGTAAAGTATGGGGTTAGCAACAATGTCATTGATATAAAGAAGGAATAGTATAGGTCCTAATATAGATCCTTGCGGAATACCAAATTTTACATATTCAGTGTCTGATGCTATACTATTAGCTACCACGAACGGAATACGATTTGACAGATAACTGCGCAAGAGATTAGGCGAAAGGCCTCCAATTCCGTAGTGTGGTAGTTTATCAAATAGAATATTATGTTTAATAGAGTCAAAAAGCTTTGTTAAAATCTACGAAGATGCCTAGAGTGTAGGATTGATTTTCTATATTGTTGATAAGCTTTTCTCAGAGGTTAAGTAAACCTGACTCAGTCGATTTACCTCTCTGAAATCGATATTGGTTTGCAGAGATTAGTTGGTATTTACGAAGTTGATTAATTATTCTGAAATTTATTACTTTCTCTACTATTTTTGAAAAAAGTGGGGGTATTGATATTGGCCTGTAATTGCTGATACTATCAACTGCACCACGTACCTTTGCTCAAAACGGAAATTGTAGCAATTTTAAATTTTTCGGGAAAGATTCCACTAGATAAGACCAAGTTGATTATGTGGCAGACTACGTCAGTTATTAAATCTGAATTAGCTTTAATTGGCACCGCTCATATGTCATAAAAACCGCTGGAATAACTATTTTTAAGATCGCTTATTAGACTGACAATTTCTGTGGGGGTAGTAGGGTGAAGAAACGTAGTATGGCGTAAGGTTGTGCTTTATGTAGAATTTTCAAAATTTTCAGTGGTCGTTTGATTGCACTCTAAAAAAGCCCGTGCGTCTGCTTTCCCGCACAACACTTGGAGAGCCAATCACCGCAACTTACTGAGGCAGCTCAGCGAATGACGATGCCGAAACATATGTTTAGACTAAAAAACGCAGTCTGAGTTGTGACATTAAGCAATGCAAAACGTCACGCTTGCATTGCTTAATGTCACAACTCAGTCTGCGTTTTTTTGGTCTAAACAGATTTTTCGGCATTGTCATTCTCTGAGCTGCTTCCGTAAGTTGCGCTGATTGGTTCTGCGAGTGTTGTGCGTGAAAGTAGATACACACTTTTTTTAGAGTGTAGCAAATGTCTGCGAACTTATCAGTATAATAGCGAATGCGAGACTTCTTAATATCACCACCCAATTTGTTTCTAACATTTTTGAACTCTTGCAAAATAGATAAGTCCCTGCTTAATATAAATGCATGACATAGTTTGTTTCGTGCCTTAATTCTTTGCAATAGGTCTAATGTTATCCACGGCTTTCTTGCTTTTTTACTTCTTTATTATTACGACAGTGTATGCACAATCATAGAAGCTGATAATTTTGTTAAGAAACAAATCGTACGCATCATTGGGATTTAGCATCTGTAATAATTCACTCCAGTCCGCTGAAGCTGCAAGTTGACGAAAGTGCTCAATTTTTTTTCTGGGTAAGGATTCGCACGGAAGTGTTTGTATTCATTTGTCTGGCAGTATGCGACAAACTTTTTGGAATAAAACAAAACAGTGATAAATGATCACTTATGTCACTTGTGAGTACGCCTGCCTCAGTATCGTTTTTATAACAGCTCGTTAAACATATGCCGATTAGCATTTCACTAGAATCTGTAATGCGAGTGATCAGTTATATTTGAGAAATCGTTTGAGTATATAATACCAATAAATTCATTAACTACATTAGATTTTTGCAAAATGTTAATATTGAAGTCGCCCATAACTACGACAGGCATTTTGAACGTCGGAAAGAACTCCAGCATAGGTTCAACAAAACGAAAGAACTCATCACCCCAGAGGGGGGCCGGTAGATAACACCAAACACAAACGCGTCTGATTTCAGAAAAAGCGGTTCAAAGTTTTGAATAATAATGGTGTACTCAGGGGTGACCTCTTAAACAAAATTGTTCTTTATATAAGGGGCGACACCACCGCCTTTTTTTAATTTCTTCTATATACAGCTTCGCATCGGTAACCTTCGAATTGTACCACACCATCGATATTACCACACCTCATTAAAGGCATTAATGGTTTAAAGAGGATAAGAAAATACTGACATCGTCTTCTTTTTTTTTTTTTTTTTTACTACACGTATTTAAGTGATAAAAGGAAAAGGAGGCAGGCTGCTTATGCCTCACAGATCTGAAGCTACGAAAAGAACCAGCATCATGATAGCGACAGTCGTTCACCAGGTCCACCATTCAGAGCAATCAAACACGGCGTCTAATTTATACTGACGGTCAACATATTTTATCTAGGTCAGCTTCACACCCGATAGCGATTGCACTCTCGCACAAACCAGTTATTCGTGCGCTTTGCGCACGAATAAGTGGCCGTTCTTTGGCCAAACAAACTGGTCATGTAGTGAAGTAACTACATTTAGTGTCGAATATTTTGTGTACAGTGAAATTTTTTTAATCTCTTTATTTGGTTTTGTTTATAGTTAATCGTAAATTAAAAAAAAAAAAAGCTGAAAGGGGAAAAAAAAAAGAAGAAAAACAGCCCTTATAGGCTATGGCTCTAAAATGTCGATTATTAAACGACGTTAACTCAGCGAATCTGAGAGAAATAAATGTCTAAAATTAGGCAATCGAAACGGCTCTTTCCAGATTTCAAGTTGGCTAGAGGATTATTTTGTTCTTTTAGGCCTGTCAAAGGCGATTTCGGATTGCACCAGACCAATCGCCTCGCCGGCACACTTGGGAAGAGATATTATGTTGCTACAACGTATACATTTCGACTAATCTAGCAGCTGTCTCGAAATGACTTCGAGCGCCTGTTCGTGCGCATTCTGTTAAAGTGCAGTCTGTTATGAAAGTCGTGTTTTTGACCTCCGTCGTCATGGAGATGGATCGGGTGCACAACTGGAGCGTCACTGCGTGTTCGACGATTATTAACTTTCAGTCACAACTGACGACAATTACAAACGTTACTACCCAAGTCGGTGCCGCGCAAACGCACATTCCAGTTGAAACTAGTAATAGGTTTGGTGTCATCCGCTCGGGTTTGCGCGAAAAATAGGACAAAATGGTGATGGATCGTTCGTGCATTACTGCCATGCTCTGCACATATACAATCGTGCGATTAATGTGTTATACCTGAATGTACCTTATTCGCTCACAGGGACGAAGTGCGTTCATCCGTGAGCGACGGATGCACATTGTCACCATAAAATATGTGTCCGCACCGGAAAAAACATTCATTGCGCGACGTGCATGTTCACATACACGTGTGTGTGCGTGTCTCTTGGTTGGTGATGCCCAGGCCTTCGAAAAGGGCATGTCGGTGGGCATTAATATATATATATATATATATATATATATATATATATATATATAACGGGCATGGTGGCGGGAGGCCGAAGGCGTGGGTATAAAACTGAGAAGAAAAAAACCCTTAGTGAAAAACAGCAACAACGGACGATTTAATCTTCGACGTTTCGGCCGGAGTCCGGCCTTCCTGACGAAGGCCGGACTCCGGCCGAAACGTCGAAGATTAAATCGTCCGTTGTTGCCGTTTTTCACTAAAGGTTTTTTTCTTCTCAGTTTTATATATATATATATATATATATATATATATATATATATATATGCCCGATATTGTTGTGGGCGCAGCCATCTTGGTGCTTGTGCAGAGCTGACGCAACTGGCGATTGTCATGACTCAAAAGTGTGACTTCCTCAGCATTAGGTTCGGTGTTAGGAAGCGCGTGTAATATGTTGCTTTGCTCTGTCGCGAACTGTTCACATGTTTGTGGAGGACGGAGAAGCGTTTCCGATGAAAGCATCAGATAAGTGGCAACCATGATTCTAAGCCCCGAGATGGGTAAGTGTCGTTACTCGGAAGCGTGGTTCATTTGGTGGCTCTAGGTCATACAAAAACGTTGTGCAGAGGGCAGGCATTTTCAGAGCATACGTGGCATACGTATGTTTGGAGCAACCAGGCTTCGAGCAGGCGTGAGGCGTATCCTCGGATAATTCTGTTATCACGTCTGTGGCGAACACCCCGTCGTCTGTATGATGGATGAGTAGTGCGATGGGAGCGTCAAGCTCGATGGTTTGTGTAACCAGCACGGTTAAAGCGTGAAGCCGTGGTGTTCATAATACCACCACCGTCAAAGTTGACAGTCCTACGTTATTCGTCGATGAAAACAAAATAACACGACCAAAGGACTCCCATCCTAATAAAACATTATAGTGCCCGTTTTGCCATACTGGGTTGACACAGCGACGCTTTTGCCCCGTTATTCCAAAACTGCTCCAGTCTAAAAAAAAAAAAAAAAAAAAAAAAGATTGACTTTTTTAAAAAAAAAATAAGGTTTGCCCCCCCCCCCCCCCCCTCCCCCCCTTCCCCCCTCCCCCCCCCCCTCTCTGAAAAACGTTCTGCGAATAGCGCGGTGCAGTGCATGAGTCGCATTTAGATATCGTCCCCGAGCGGGTCGCAAAGCTTGATAGCGAAATTCCGGAGATTGCATTGTTGACAACGCCAACAATGCTATTCCCACAACTTCGTCGTCGAGCTTTGCCAAAGAAACTGAAGAAGAACAGAAAGCTTAGTTCTGTTCTTGAAATAATGCGGTGACAAAGAAGCTTGGTCAGTGGCGTTGCGTGTAAGTATACTTGAGTCCCACTATAGTGCCTTCATGCTTGTGTCAAGGGAGAAACATTTCTTCCCAATCGTCCGTATCGAGAACGAAAATATTGAAAAGAGTGGGGCTTTTGTACATTCTTAATCTTTGATCGGGTTCGCTCTTCTCTTCCAAGGTGGACCAAGTGTGCCGAGGTCTGCTGTCTGCAGGCTTTGAGAAGGGGGACTCTGTGGCCATCTGGTCTCCCAACACCTACAACTGGGTCGTCCTCTACGGAGCCATGGCAAAGGCCGGCATTGTCTCCGTGAGTTTCACGACACCTACTGTGGCTACGCCTTACGTAGATGCGGGCGATTTCGTTGTTTGAATTCACTGCGACATAGCCGTAGATGGCTTTCCTTTGTCCAGGTTAGGAAAAGGATAAGCAATGTCCTGGCCACGGAGGATATTTATCAGCTTTGTCCCCTGTCCTGGACAAAAGTCATTGTCCATACCAAAAGAGAAAGCTGAACAATTTCCCCTGTGGCCCAGGAATTAGCCCATCTCTCCAACTCTGATTCTTTCGTTGTGTCCTACTTGTTTGTCCCCTTTTGTAAGGAGTAAGGGCTTTACTTTAATCTGGATTTTTAAGGTTAGCTCATAGTTTAGTGTGTGGACGCATTAAACGCATGCGCAATGCAACGCTTGCACCTTTTAACGACAGCGCGAGAAACAGGCTTGTTCAGTGCACTGGACATAGTGTAAATAAGACCATTAGAATTTTCATTAGAATTTTCATATGTATGTCGACTACAAAAGCCGCTGTCGCTGAACGGAACGCCGCAGACCAGCGAAATGCATGGCCACCGATACTAAGTCATCTTGGTTTTGTAGGTAAGCCTGCAGGCTACCACTTATTTCTTTCTGTTGTGGGTGTGCGGGTTCGCATTTCGCTGGTCTGCCTACGTGTGTCGTTAAAATGAACGAGAGGGGTGATTGTTTATAATGCATGAAACCGGTGGCACCCGATGCTGCTTGCTTAAGGTGTTAGGAATGCACGAACCATTACCACACAAGAAAATGCTCCAGAGTAACGAAAAACTCGCAAAAACAATGGCCCCTGACAGCATTTCCCTGTGGTGGTGTGGAACATGCAGAGAGCATGCAGAGCGCGAGTCTGCGTCTCCTTAGGAATCAGGGGAGTCGTTGGGGCGGGACACTCAGGAGGAGAGCCTTGGGAAAGTACTGCAAAAATGAATTGATCATTCGTAAACTGACTGGCCTTCTTATTAGAATGGACGCAATCGAAAAATCTCCCGAGTTCCAGAAAAGGTGATCAGTTGCTGCCGAAACTCGAACACCAATGCCATTGAAGGCATTGAGGAATCCATGGATGCTCAGTCAGCGAGGCACGAAGAGCAAATTGCTGGACTAGACAGCCAGGACAAAACAATCAGAGCTAGAACAGAAAGTTCGTAAACCGGAAGAAAAAATAACTCAAAGAGATGAGGAAATCTGGGCATTAAGAAAGGCCGTCGACAACGCGGAACAGTATTCCAGGCGGCAGAACATTGAACTTCACGGCGTAAATCAACAGCCGAATGAAAACCCGTTGGAAGTCATTAACAACGTTACAACTAATTTAGAAGTACCACAAATCTCAACCAAAGGCATTGAAGCTGCCCACAGGCTCAAAGCGAAGGAAGGTGGACCAGCAACTATCCTGGTGAGGTTCACCGAGAGGCGCATGAGAGACCTTCTGGCAAGGATGCGGGCTACTCTTCGAAGCGAGAACAATAATATGATTAAAAACTTAGCCCCTGCACTAAAGAAATTTCTGTGGACAACTATAGCATGCGTCAAAGAAAAACCATGGAAGTTTACATGGGTAAGGAATGGAAAGATCTTTGTAAGACAGAAGGAGAACGCGGTCGGGATCTAGATTGACAGGGAAAGATATCTTACGAAAATCAACTGATCATGGAATCTTCTTTAGAATCGTTCCACGAATGCTACACTTATATAAAAAAAAGTCTATGGTGGAGGAAGGTTACATCAATGTGAAGAAAATTTTATTGCGTGTAAATGTAAGAAGTATATCTACAAGCATTTCGATCCAATAACGGTGCTCTTGTGTGACAGACTTCATCTCTTGGATATACTCATATTAACTGGACTAAACGCAGACGAAGCATCTTGCGCATCTTTTAGTCTATATCATGCTTTCATTCCTATAACATATGCAGATAAGGTAGGAGGGAATCATATTGTACATAAATGGACAAATGGTTGTCCGAAAGAACACAGGTCGAACTGCAAAACACCGAAGTTTGCGCGGCAACTGTGCATAAGGCTGGTTTACCTTATATAGTATGTGCAGTTTATAGACCACCCAGTTCAGATGTAAATACTTTTTATGAAGAATTGGCAAAACTGCTCCCAAATGTGATAACAAATATTTCGTTCTTGCAGGTGACTTTAATGCTGATATCTCAAATGAGGCAAAACACGGAGTGTTGTTCTATCTTGACACCCTATCTTCTTTTGATCTCGAAAATGTAATTTAAGACTATATGCGGGAAAAGTATTGTGGTAATAAAATTACAAGGTCATGGATATTGACCATATAATTGTCAAAATCAGCAACTTAAATACGTTATCGGGAGTTGTCAAACAAGGTTGCTGATCATTACATAACCGGTTTTCAGTGCTAGGGTAGAGTATGCTTGAAAACTCGGAAGAAAATGAGTATGAAGCTAAACTAGATAGCAAAAAGATAGGTAGTTTAATTCAGAGGTACGACTGGAATTCCTTGCTACACTTTAATCACCTCACACAGAAAGTGAGCTTTCAAGGGTAATACACTCAAACTCAGTAACTAAATCGCGCGGAATTGACAGTAACAGAATAGGTACATCCGCTACAACTTTGACAAAGTACACCACATTCTGCTTAAAATAGTCAATGACACACTGCATTCCGGAAATATTCCAAAAGGCTTAAAAGTGTCAGTGATAAAACCCTTGTATAAAAAAAGAAGAAAAAAAAGTGAAAGCCGTTTACAACTTCCTGTAACGCCGAATTGGAGCGCAGCTCTTGAGGAGGAGGAGTGGAGGGTATATTCCTCCTCCTCCCTCGTGATCATGCCTGCTAGTCCTCCTCCCCTCCTGCTCCCCCTCCCTCTCCTTTACCACCTCCTCGTCCTTCAAGCTCCTCCCCTCGCCTCCGCCTCCTCGTCTCTCCTCCCCCCCCTCCTCCACCTTCGTACTGCTTTCCTCCTCGCCGCTGAAGTCATGTGACCCCCTCCCCCCGAGGTCACGTGACCCCCCCGAACCAGACAATGAGGGGAGGAGGAGGAGGGCAGAGGTCCGGGGGGTCACGTGACCTCGAGGGGACGGGATCACATGACCTTGGGCGGGCCGTCACGTGACTTCGGCGGGGGGAGGGGAGTCACCCCCCGGGGTCACGTGACCTGGGCGGGGGAGGAGGAGCGGGGGGAGGAGGAGGGGGAGGGGCGACGCCGACGCCAACGCCGACGCCGACGCCGCACAGGCTGGAAACGGGTCATGTGACCCCCTCCCCCCGAGGTCACGTGACCCGCCCGGACCATACTACACCATGAGGGGAGGAGGAGAAGGAGGGGAAGAGGAGGAGGAGGGGAGGAGGAGGGGGAGGAGGAGGAGAGGGAGGGGCGCGGTTACGCCGACGCCGACGCCGACGCCGACGCCGACGCCGACGCCAACGGCGACGCCGACGCCGCTGAGGCTGGAAACGGGCCCCTAAGAGCTGCGCTCTAAAACAACAGCAAGAATTTGGGAGTTGCAGACCTATATCCATCCTACCAATTATCGCTCACATAATCGTGAAATGGGTTGAACATCAGAGGTCCGTTTCATAAATTCTTCGAGAATTATTTTAAGGAAAGATTTCAAATGGTTAAAATTATGATAATGTTAGCCCAGAGTGAGTCCAATTCTGTGTACCACAAGGCAGCACTTTAGGGTCCATGCTATTTAACACATATACAAATGAGCGAGGACTTCTGCCACTACATCCAAAGGTTTCCCAACATGAGGATGGCACGGTATTAGTGCTAGAGAAGTACGATGATGCCATTTCAGTTTTTCAGAGAGACATACATAAGCTATCTTGATGGTTTGCTGCTAATTGTATTTTGGTGAATGTTGCAAAAACGAAACTTACCCACACAAACGCCTTTTAATGGCATCAAATAGTTTCCTTCATTCGGCACAGTGTATTAATTGTTACTGTAAACCCTTATCACACGATAGTTCTGTTAAATATTTAGGTATATATATATATATATATATATATATATATATATATATATATATATATATATATAGAACACATGCAATGAGATGTCCAGGTTGAATTTGTAGCAAAGAAACTGCGTGTCATATCTGCATATCTATAGAAGGAAAAGTGTTTGTAGCTTAAAGAACAGACTACCGGTGTTTAAAGCTTTAGCGGAATCCGCGTTGTGCTACGGCATTACACTGTACTCTCAGTAAGAGTGAGTGATAAGATCATAAAACATATGGTGAACAATATATCATACGGAACGTATATCAGGTATTGGAAACGAAAGAGAATGCTAAAAAGTTGAGAATATTATTTTTTTTATAACTTTTTCACGTACGTTGCGATTCAAATTAATTATTTTATTAATACCTACAAAACTCCCGTGAATAAATGTAGAGATTAGAGACGTACTGAGAGGTGCCTAATTTCAAGAATATACTTAGGGTTCGGAGTTTGTCGGTTTAAACCGATAAAAACCGATAAAAGTATGCCGAGTCCATTTTCGGAAATTCGGTTTTAACTGAAAAAGGTCAGTTTGTAGGATCGGCGTTTTCAGTTTAAACCGATAAAAACCGCTAAAAGTACGTCGAATCCATTTTCTAAAATTCGGTGTTAACCGAAAAAGGTCAATTTGACCGACCTTCCAGTAGTACCGCAGAGCCGTGGCGAAAAAGTGGAACGACAGTGTCTACCAAGACTAGTCTAAATGTATGGGATACACGGGTGCCATCACGACGTTATGGTTTAATGTGCGCATTATCGATCGGAACGTGAAGTCCGAAATGCCCCATGACTTTTCCATGTACGAGCCTGTTTTCAAACTCGTTGTAAGGAAGACTTACTTAATGCAAGCTCTGCAGCCAGAGTTTAGTGAGTGCACGAAATATGTTGTGCTTCAAAACGTCGCACCGTGTCTCTTTTGTCGGTCAGATTTGATTGATTGGCCGATTGTGGCTCAGGCAGCGCTTCACCTCCTCAGCCTGCCAGTGTCCAGTGTTATTCTCGAAGCTCAGGCTGATATTAACAGGAAAGAAAGAGTGCGGATCAACGAGAACCTGGAAAAGTACACGTGTGTTTACTACAATAATATCACGTAATCCTGATGTACAGAAAGTCAAGTTCCATGTTTTTTGGACATAGGCTTCATATCTGACTTGTCTGTACTTGTGTTGTTGTTCTTTCTTGTTTCTTTTACAGCTGCACAGATTTGCCCAAAATGTCCATTTCTTTTTCAATGTATCTGTTCCGTTATTCTTTGAGCGATCACAAATATCAGAGCTACAGGGATCATCTGATCCGGTGTCTGTTTGTGTTTATTTCATATTCACCGAAAAAAGACGGTAAACCTTTATAGGTATAAATATACACCGAAAAAAATTGAAAATTGAATTATAAAATAAACATCGTAAAAAGTACGCTGAATTAAAAAAAAAAAATGTAAAAACCGAAAACGCGGGACTTTAACTATACTGAAAGAAGCGTCGTAATTATTACATTCCTTATTTATTTAATGCACTTCCAGAGTACCCGATGAACCTAACCTCCACCAGAATACTGAAAGGGGCCCTTCAATGACTTTTTTTACTGGTTTTTAATTTGCACCGAACCTGAGCGCACTGAACGTAGTAACTTATTGAAGCTTTTCTTTTCTCGAATTTTGCTTTATTTTAAGTTATAGGCAAATTAAAATTACAAAAACAAGCAAAAAATAACCTCTTTCATGACGTCCTTGGTTGCTTGAGTGACCGTGAACGAGAGGAGGGGTAGTGAGCGCAGCGAGCGCTCACGGCTGCCGCACTCCGTGTGGACGGCTCCAGAGGGCGCCACTAAAGCACGTTGTGGCTAGGCTGTATGAAGCGGGCAGCCAGGGCGGCTCGCATTGCATTTGCTGCGCGATTAAACACTTACTCGGCATGACACTTCATTGGCCACAAACGATAGCAAACACGGGGTGAAGATCAGTTCAGAACGGGAGCCACTTCGCGCTACCATATCGCCAAGATGCCAAACCGCAAGACAAAGCTGCTCGCCGAAGGCCTTGGAAACGCTCGGAACCAGTCGGATCCTCCAGTCCATACGACCGCAGCGCCGCTGCGTACATCCGGGACCTTTCTACGCTCGCCGCTCGTTGGTGGCTGATCCTTATACACCTTTCGAGTATGCGCCGCCTTTCCCACCGCTTGGTGCCGGGTGTGCATGTCGACGGGTCATCTCTTGTTTCCGTACTTTCTAGACTGCATTTTTTTTTCTGTGCTAAAATACTAAACAATAAATACTTTTATAAATAATCGAAACGGTTCGCGCCACTTATATTTTGTATTTAGACTAAAAAGAATTTTTTAGCGGCTCTGACCAGTAGTAAGCCCAGGACCAAAGAGGTCACATTTTGCGCGCTTTCGGTAACGCGGGTCGCCTCCGTAGGTGGAGGAGGTTTCCGCGTCGTCCGGTTAAAATATGACGCACTAATATTTAGTTACTCTCTCCGTGCCCGCCGGCTTGCCCGAACCCCAAGAGACGTGGAAACCGCAAAAAAAATTGCAGGGCCCCTTTAAGAGAGAACTAAAGAAATGGTTCCAGACATCTGAATCATTGCTACCGTAGCTTCGGCGTTGGAATATTTTTGTTTTGTCTTATTGCATATCTTGTCAAGTGCAAAATTGCGTTTGTACAATAGGTTATATATACAAAGTCTTTCTCATTTGGACTGCATAGATGCCATAGATCAATGTTGGCGTTTGTTTGTTTAATTCCTTCGCCATGTTCTTCTTTTTTTATGCCGTGGTGTGTATGCGTGCCCTTAGTTTTTTTTCTTCCTTTCTCAGAATTGTTATTAGCATGCATTTCACTTGGTTGTCTGGCCCCACACACAAGCACGCTTCTGTTTTCGTAGGCCAGTACTCTTTAGTCTTTATTTTCAATGTGAAATCATCATCATCATCACCTCCACCATCATCATTATTATTTATTATATAACTAACTAGTCAAAGTAGTGCTCTTGGGGCATTTACTAGCCTCAAGTAGAAAGAGGGGGGCGGGGGTGGACGCGGCTGCAAGAAAAGTATGAGGATAAATAAAATAAATGTAGAGAAGAAACGGGACACACCCTCGATAAGCTTGCGGCAGTTTAAAGGGGCTATGCAACAATTTTTCTATTTTCAAAAAAACACATCTTAGAATCATTCCTTGACATTTATTACCTATATGAAACACACGTTGCATTTTCTCTCTACGCAATGGCAGTCGCAAAAAGAAAGCCGAAAAAAAACGAACACTCTCAGCCAGAAAGGTGGCCACGTGATCTGGAGCCGATTATACGTCGCCATTGATTTTAACATAGGCACGCCTTGGGGTTCGGAAAGCACAGCTGGCGAGCGCCGAGTTCCACGCATTGTTAATTAAGGTTGGGCTAGTCACGCGTCATCCCTGCGATTGGGCACGAGCCACCGTGAACCTGAATGTATGTTGAGGCATTGATTGTCACGAGCCAAAATCGAATGCCTACGCATTCTTGGTGTCCACCCTGTGAGCATTTAAGTGTCCACTGTCTGAGCAGCACTTAAGTATCGTCACAGCGGGATCGCAAAGCTTGATGACGCAGTCCTGTGGCTCGCGTTATTGGCATTGTCCCCACAGCTCCGTCATCAATTTTTGTGAATGAGAGACTGAAAGAAAAGGTCCACTTTTATCCTTGGAATTCCACCGCGACGAAGGCGCTTTTTGGTCAGTGGCCTTGCCTTCGAGTCTTCTTGGGTTCCACTAGTGGCAGTAAGCTGGTGTAAAATGAAAAACCATTCTACCCCCTTTAATTGAAAGAAAAATCTCTCTATATGTATATAAAACGATTTGCAGTTTTATTAACTTGAAAGAAAACTACTATTGCTTCGTTTTTGATTGTCGTGGTTTAGGAAAGTCGTTTGGCGTACAGCGCTGCTTTTAGGTTTCGGTGTTGACTGCCGCGAAGGAGTTCACAATCATTGTTCGGGAGACGACTGAAAGAGCGTTTCCATTTTTCCACAGGCATGCGTTCATCCCGCTTACACTGCCGCAGAATTCGAGAGATGTCTGGTCAAGGTAAGACACGTTGTCGCATCCGCGCTGGACTGCAAGTTCCCAGTAAAATAATCCCTACTGCGTGGTGCACGTTGAAAAGCCCAGGCTGGCGGTTGTACCGCACTGGCTAAATTTCTCATCTTCAGCTGAGAGACAAGTCGCCCGTTCAGGCAGACTAACTTCAGGCTCTATAAACATACTACACACATTTTATTTTTGTAAAATAATGTTTGAGTAGGATGCTGTGTTCACAGGGGAGAGATGCATCCGTGGGGTAGTACGTTTTAACTGCCCCCCCCCCACCCCCCAAAAAAAAAAAAAAAAAAAAAAAAAAAAAAACTTGACAGCTTAGAAAGATGGTTTGTATATTGTCTGGTCTGAATATGTCGGCAAGAATGTCGGAATTTTCCGCGCCCGGTAACGACTCGAAAATGAATGACTGGCTGAATAGACTGCGTTTGTAGTATTTTGGCAATGCGGGCATGCAGAATCATTTGTCTTCAAAATATGTTTCTTCGCTGCGGTCAAACGCCTTTGTTGGCGCATGTCCATTATACGCATAGGGTATTCGTACACTGTGAGCGACTAAATACATGTGGGTACCGAATTTCGCGACTTGAGAACATCGCGAAAAATTTTATATCGCCAATATTATATATCAGCTTAGGGTAGCGAACACATAGCGCATCGCTTTAGTATTCCCGAAACTTCGCAAGGTTCGCGAACTATTGAGCCCGCGAAAATAGTCGTTTACAGTATATATACAGTTTCTTTTTACATATTTCCTAAGAGGTACCAGAATCTAAAAAAGGAGTATACTTGAGGCGCGTTTTCAACGTGGGTTAAAAGGCCCCTGAAGAGGAAAAAAATTTTTCTTTTTCTTAAACAGTTTGGTTCGGACACGCCTGTCAAAAAATAAATTTTACGCGAAAAAAAAAAAAAAGTAATTTTTAGAAAAAGATTTGCGAGACGCGTTTTAGCCGGCAGTCACCTCCTTTGCACTTGTTTTCTCTCAGCATTTCGAGCGCCTGGAGGGGAGGTAGAGCGGCTTCGCCTTCATGACCGAGATGGTCATTCCGGAATGACCAGTGACTTCATGGACTTCGCGCGCAGAATTCGAAATAAATCTCTCGCCGTCAAAATTGCTCTAAAAATATTTCTTTTTCTAGAGTAAAATTTAATTTTGACACGCGTGCCTCACCCAAACTGTAAAAAAAAATAAAAAAATAGTGGTTTTTAATAGTGGTTTACGATGGTTAATAGAAGAGGGGTGAAATCCATTAATTAGTTAGCTAATTAACTAAAACACTTTAACAGACCCTTTTCCGAAGTACTCGCTATCGCCCGTGGAGTATCGCTCGGATCCATCACGCGCATCGTACCCAACAAATGACGACCATCAATGTTGCTTGACGAACATTTTAAAAGGGTCAATTAATTTCTGCATTTTCATATCTTTTTGGGGCATAATGTTGTTGGAAAGTTGACGTGGTGTCAAATTTTGATGAAACAAATTTGTAGTTGGCGCTCTGGGCAACGAAATGTCATCCTTGCACGCGACTTCAAACCGACGCTAAGTGTCGAAGCGCGCCCGCGGCGACGCTCCGTCCGTTCTGCGGCTGCTCCGCAACCTGTTCACGCTGCAGATGACGTCAACAGTACGGTGCGTGCAAGCACAGGCCGAAGGAATCGACGTCACGGACGCTCTTCGCTGGTTAGTTTCGGTTTTGAGGTTGAGTAGAGGGATGGTATTTCTCGCCCCGTAGCGCCCTCCGCGAATTATTTAAATAAACATTTCACGTCACGGCTACAAAACAATGAGGTCGAGGCGTCAACTTTCCACCTACATTATGCCAGGAAAAAAAATTTAAATACGTTTTAGTTAATTCGACAACTAGTTTACCCGTTTCACCTTGTGGTCCTCGTGGGGGCCACAAAAATTAGTCGGAAAAAAGAAACGCTGGCCAAATTGTTTTTGAGGAAACTACGATTCGCACAGGTAATGGTCTAATCAGTAAAATTATTTACGTTCGCAATAATCGGTTAATGTTTTATGAATATTTTTAATGAGTACATTTGAAGGTGTACTTCCAGTTAGAAAATTCCTGGGCATAGTCGAAAATCGCTGAATAAACTCGCTTAGAAATATATAACTTTCGCGCAACATTTTGCGGCGTTTCGAAGAAAGAAAAACCTCAATCCGGATGAATTTGTATGGACCGTATTATCGTGGGTAGCGCCATTTTGAGAGCGAGAGAAAAGAGGAAAGGGCTGCCGGTGGTTTTCCCCCTTGCTGGTGCGTTAGAAAGAGTGAACGTCCCGAACGAGAGGCTTCGCCGGTGTTGGGTGTATGGATTGCCGGAGCTTCGTTCGCACTTTCGTCTCTATTTTAAACTCCCAAACTTAATTAGAGCCCCGGGCTTCGATGACGATAGTCTTCCGGTCATCGGGATACCATTGCTCGGTAATAGGGTGCACGCGTATAACGACAGAAGGCGTCGATACTGTTCGAGGACCTCTGTAGCTCGCACGGAATCCGCCAAGGCGAGTGCGGCTGCAATCTCTTTAAGCTTCATCACTTTCCACATGACCGAAACCTCCGGCGGCAGGGGGTTGTTTCCGTAAACAAAAAAAGACACTTCCGCAACGCCCACCTCTCGACTGTTCTCGTAACATTTTGTGAATGGAGCGCGCACCGAACTGTATAGATTTTGGTTTCCTATTGCAATGCGAGTAAAAGAAGAATGACAACAGCGCTGTTGTCTATCAGTCTTTGATTCTGTCCATGTCGTGCCGCTATTGGTGTACTGAATAGAATAGCTACTAACCCAATCGTCAGCATTATCTGGCTGTCCCACTCCCGTGGTCAAAGCGCGCAACCAACGCGGGGCACCACGTGTTCTTCGCATGACAGAAGTGAACTCGAGAATCAGTCTTATTCTTGTATTGTCTTTGCAACAACGCATAATCTCGGTTTGCTGGCGAGCGCCAGACTTCCTTTCCCCCCTATGGGAGGAAAGAATGCAGTCGCACTTTTTAGGACATCTGGCGCAGAGGTGCGTTGTTATAGGAAACCGAAGCTTAGAAACACGTCCCGATTGAACGATTTTTTTTTACGCCGAAAAATATGGCGGTTGTCTTGTGTTCTTGTTAAGCGAGTTGTACCTTTTAGTTTCGTAATTAGAAAGTTAGTGACTCGGAAATAATGAATAAGCTAATTACACCGCGGATGTTATTATATCTTGCAAAATAGAGCCGTTGGCGGAGACCAATACGAGATTAACTTTTTTCTTGTGAGATGCATACTTTTAGCAGGAACGATTCGGCCGGCGTTCCAAGGAATACCCTGTATACGAATAGAACATATATACATTCGTATATAACGATCGAATATGTTTAATATTGGTATACTTGCCTTATTTCGCCGAAACGAATTGCAGCTAGCATGTTTGATCTGTCAATCTTCCTCCAGGTCGGCTGCAAGGGAATTTACGTTCCCGAGTCGTTCAAAACTCTCAAATACTACCAGACACTCTGTAACCTGATCCCGGAACTCAAGGATTCTAAACCGGGACACATTAATTCAAACAAGTAAGTCTAGTTTACCCTTCGTTTTTTTTTTTTTGTTTTTTTTTTATATCCATTTTGCTTGAATGCATGCTGAACACGGTTGTCATTACAGGTACCCATTTCTGAAGTGCGTAATCGTCGACAGCGATAAAGCTTTACCGTAAGTCCCCTTTCTTGTACAAGGAGCGTTCATAAAGTTCGTATTATTGTCACGAAGGAATAGAAATTCGGCAATAAAACTTGAGTAGGAGTTGAGACTTTCTCTGCATGTTGGCCACCAAAAGTTACCCACTTTTTCCAGCGATGCACCACATGCCGGAGGCCACTGTTATATAACTCCTCGTTCTGAGTGTTCAGGAATCGCTCCAGTTCAGCAATCACTTGGTCGCCGTCCTTGAAATGCTTTCGTCTTATTTGGCCACACTGGAAGCGTCTGCGCCATTTAACCGAAGTGTCATAAACTGGGGCGTTGTCCCCGAACAACGCTCCCAGATTGGAATGAATATCCTTGGCATTGCTTGCCTTCAAATGAAAAAGAAAACGGATTACTGCATGTGTTTGGCACCGACGGGCGGTGCCATTTGTGTTTCGACTCCCTAGCGGCGTTCCGAGCTGCTATAACATGCGATGTTTATACTGTGCGGAAACTAGAGGGACGCGTGCTCACGTTGATGCCTGTTTTGTTCCGTTTTTTTTTTTTTTTCAATGTTTTGTGCCAATAATACGAACTTTATGAACGCCCCTCGTACCTTTTGAAAAACATCATTAAAAAAAAAAAAAAAGGGGGGGGGGGGAGTGTTTTGTTATGAAAGAAATGACCGGACCGCAGCGTAGCTGGCACCGATGGTGCAGTCTGTCGACGTCAAAGGGTCTCGTAGATGAAGCGCTGTCACATGATTGTCTGGACAGTCCAAAAAAGTAGAGGTCCCAGCATGGATTGTCCGTGTACTATTCTTGCGTTGGAGCCAAAACACGAAGACGTGATTTTTCTTGTTTTCCAGAGCCGATTTTTATGCAAGCTATAAACGCGTTTTGTTCAGGAATGCACATGATTGTTGGCTAATAACTTGGAACTTAAACAATGTGTTCGTGTTGGTTCAATTCTCATCGAACGACATAACGGCCGTTTTTTAAGAGAAATGGATCGTGTTTTTCTTACCGCAAAAATGAACTACGCATCGCCGAGCGCTGTGTCCGCTCAAATCTAGCGCTAGCGATCAGAACCAGATTCCAAAGTTTCAGAAGTTACCGTTATTTAATCGGTATCAGTGATTTTCGTAAATTTCCAAAAAGAAGCTGGGGTATGTTCCCAGTAGCGTTCGTCATTCATCTCCACGTATTCGCGGGCACCGTTCGGCGCCATTTTCTAATTTAAAATGTGAAAAAAAAAAAAAAATCGCTTTTAACGTTTGTATTTAATAACGGTGAGTTCTGAAACTTTGGCATCTTGTCCTAATCGCTAGCGCAACATTTGGGCGAAGACTTCTGGTGTTGCGTGATTTTTGCGGTGAGAAAACACGTAGCTCTCTTTTCTTCTAAACCCTGGGACTACAGTTTCAGTGAAATGGCGCTTTTAGATTTTGAGAGATTACGTGGGAGACCTGTGTTGTCAATCTTGTGCCTATTTGTTTACGTCCTGTGCACTTCGACTCGTCCTTATCCGTATGTACGCCATTTGTGTTTTGCCCCGATAAGTTTCACGCTAAAGCCTCGTTATCTGCAGGGTCGACCGTCATAAAACTCGGAACTGTTTTTCGTTTGCAGGGGATGCGTAACCTCGAAAGAAATCTTTCAAGGCGGAAACTCCAACTTGGAGGAAGCAGAAAAGAAAGTCGGCATGGACGACCCTCTGACTATAGTCTTTACATCGGTAGGTTTGAGGTTTTGTTCCGTCTTGTCATCGCGACGCAACTTTGAATGCGACTGTCTTCTTGGGGTGTTTTCTTGCTACCTACCGTGCTGTATACTTTTTTTTGTTTGCCTCGCCATACAGAGCAGAATCTTTATAGACCCGTTCCAAAATTGCTATTGGCAGCAATGAGCCGCTGCCTTGACGGCGCTCGAAAGTGCTGCTGGCCACTATGATCGGGCAAGGCGCTGCCATTGTGCGGTATATGAGCCCACGATCGGGAGCACCACCGCTGCTGGTCCCTATTCGCTATCGTGGACAAGGAGCTTGGTTTACATTCCAAATTGGTGCACTATACGGATAAAGTAAACGACAACTACGTCGCCCACAAGACGAGCGACCAAAACCGAAGGCGCAGTTCAAGTTCGTGACTGAAAGTTACGTGGAGGCACCTTCGCACGAAACGACGACTTGGTTTTCGGGGCTTCGTTTTCTCCCATCGGCGAGTGAGTAGGTTGTCGCATTTTTGTTGGTGACACTCTCCACATCGACGATGGAGTCGCTTGTTGCGTCTTCGTTGGCGATGCGGTTTACATCGACATTTGAGTGACTTCACGCCATCACTGCCGACGTTGTCCACGATCGCTTCTTTCATCGCGTCTTGGACTGCAACGGAGCGTCATTTTCGTCATTCTTGTCCAGCTCGTTTGCACCTTTGCATTTAATTGCATTATAAATAGATGCTGTTTGCTTTGGCGGCTGTGGCAGTCTTTGACACGGCGTTCTGTCCTCTTAGGCCTTTCGGCAAAGTTGAAAGCAAATACTGTTAACTTTATTTTCGCGGCCTCGAAAGTTCCGCAAATTTTACGTTTTCGGAAAATTTGGCGGGCACAGTATTGCGCGATTTGGAGGGGTACGTATAGTATTCCTTACCATAGAGGTACGTGGGCGGCCAAGAATTCAGTCTCGGAAGTCATTAAGAGACTTTGCCTGTCTGCTAACCCAACTGAGGAGCGCGTTTCGATGACCTGCGAGGTGTGTCAAGGAAGACAAAAAAATCGAGGTAGCTTTGTGGGAATATGGCGAACTGCTAAATAAACAAATGGGAAGTAACGCATTTCGCAATGAGCTCAGAACGTGCGTAACAAACTACCTCCCCCATTAATTCATGCGACATGCTCAGCAACTTGCTATAAGCTCAGAAAAGTCGCATCCCAAGACTCGTATACCATCCTATTGCATTTTGATTTCCCGGAGAATTGGAGCGTCGTTCTTCCGTTAGTAATACAATGTTTTCATTGAAAGAACCAAATTGTGTCTATCTTCACCTGCGTCGCTACAACGGAGCGCAAAATCTATAGAAGGGGTTGCAAACACGAGGCCCGTGACTCGCTGGGACGTGGCCCGCAGACATCCCGCGGCTGCGAGCCCCCTCCAGATGTCGTAGAATCGCAAATGGCCCATAAAAGTCTAATGCTGTCGATTCCTTAATTTTCTCTAAGTGTTGATTCGTTTTCAGTTTTTTTTTTAACCTTTTTCTCATATTAATCAACTGTAGGACGATCCCACTAGGCTACAGGCATGGGCCTCTTGCTCAAGGACACACTTCAGAAGCATAAGCTTTTACGTAGCAGAAGAAACTGTCAAAACTTACGAGCTTTAGCGTCTCGTCTTCGCTGGTGCATGTCGTAAGTTAAAGCTATGAATGCGCCGTTAGAAAACAACAATCAAATGCGACCCGCAATTCTTACAGTGCTTCATAAAAAAAATCGCCAGGATAGCAATACCTGTCGTATTGGGCAACGACGGATGTCCTCTTGTACAATTGAAAAATTTCAGCACGTTCTCGGAGCAGCGCCATTTTACTTTTACTTGCCCCATGAGCCATTTCTCCAAAGTAGTCACATAAAAAAAATATTCAGCTAAATATGTCTCTAGCAAAGCGGCGAGTTTACAAGCAGTATAGAGTACGAAGTCGGTATTTTAGGATTCCTGGTAGACAGGTGCTCCTCAACGTGGACCTCCAGAGCTATTTTTGTCCCCAAGCACCCATGAGTTTGAGACCACTGATCTACAGCTCGGAGTCATCAGCGACGGCATCGTGCACGATACAGCTCACACACTGTTCGCTCTGCGCGCAGTTGAACAGTGTCTGGAAGAAAACATTTCAATATTTACAAAACTGGCCTGTATCTCCGACGGGACGACTAGTCATTTCAAAAATAGGTTTCAACTGTACGAGATGGCGAAGGGACAAGAACTGACCATACAGATTTTTTTCAGCTACAGGACAGGGCAAAAGTACGTGTAATGGCGTGGGGGGGAGTCGTCAAGCACCAAGCCTCCTTGCACTACCCCAGGTCGTCAGAACTGAAACCATTGGAAGTGCTGATAATTTTACTCGTGTAGTGGCCCCGAAAGTGCCTGTAATTGTACTCTCAAGACTGAAGGAGCAGGTTTCGCACCCAACCCCGTGTCACAAAAAAAAAAAAAAAAATATTCTTTGAGTTTTGTGAAAAAACATTCAATCCGGCCACTTGTGAATGAAAGCTCGAAATAAAAACAAGTCTTTCAGGGCTGTGCATAAAAAAAGAAAAAAAGAAAGAAAAAAAGCGCGAATTCTTACTTAAAATAACTTTTTTCTTTTATCACCAAAAGCGTTACTGTGAGCTTATAATGCTAAACATGCTGTGTAATGTTATGCATTCCTCCATCTATCTCTATTCTTCGTTATTGCCTCAAATAAAAAAAATAAAAACAATGAAGGTTTGAACAACCGTGAAAATGCGGCCGAATGTGAGGAAGCAAAATGTTTTCACTCGCGCACCCAGCGCAATTTCGCGCTGGTTTCTTGAAAGCAATTTATATCGTAACCTTCGTTGCCTGACATAAAGGTTTTTGAAGCTTAATTTTTATGCTTGTTAAACAAAAAAAAAAAAAAAAAAAAAAAACCGTTTCAATAAGTTTATTTAAAGAAAAGTTGTGGATTTTGAGATTGATAAGTAAACTCTGGACAGGTGAATAAACTTTTTTTTTAAACTATCATAACATACCAGTCAGACCTCAATTTTACTAAATGGTAAATGAGCGGAAATATCATGGTCACCGTTCCAAGCTTATGATAATTACGTAAAAGATGTGGCGACGGCCCATATATCTTAGAATGGAGGGACAGATATGCATTCTTTTCAAACGCACTGCGTAATATGACGAGACCATATATATGTCAAAGATTTCATTGCATATATAAAAACGCAAACATTTCCATTAAAAAATAATGATATATTTTGTATTTTTATCTTTTTTTCTTAAGTTTGCAGTGTTGTTTCTTCTATGCAAATCATATCTAAATGAACAATACGGTATTATAATTTTAAATTCGTTTAGATAGAAGCTTTCATTTTATGTTTTTTACGCCTTAAATAAATGTACATAGAAAGGTTGCTCGATTCAAACCTGGCCCATTTCACCAAGTTCGCCCTTGGCAAACTTGGTCAAAGGTACAAAACACACAAAGTTTTAATTCATAAAAAAAAAAAACTGATTTCTAGATAACTTTGACCGTTGTATATAAAGTTTTAACCAGTAAGCAAATTATAATTTTCGTGAAAAAAAAAAAAAAAAAAAAAAAAAAAACCAACTCGTGAAAACACCAAAAGTGGCACAATCTACCTTCCCCTCTTCGAAGCCCAAAAACTCAAGAACAGAAATTGGTCCGTAAATCTGGTTTGCAGTTTTGTTCTAGTCACTTATTTTCCATCAATATATATATATATATATATATATATATATATATATATATATATATATATATATATAATTTCTTTATAAGAAAAGTTTTTAAAACTTATTTTTTCCTGCACGATTTGAGACTAAATTGCCCAAAGACAGACCAGCTTTCGTCTCTTTAATGCCTCTTCCAGCACGGTCTAAAAGCACTCATTTGGTTTTTCAACTTTAAGCAATGTGCCTTTCTTAAAAAAACCAAAAACAAAAAAACAACAACAACAACAATATGTTTTTACATTATGCAGCATCGTAAAATGTTGCAGATCTGGGTCTCTTGGGAATTTCACTGCTTCAGTGGCAGAAACCGTAGGGTATGATCTTTGAGGGCAGCTGCGTTAATATAGAAATGGGAGGTTCGCAAACGCGTCATTCGCGCCTTCTCTTTGCGAAGGTCGAACAGAGCGCGAGCTACAGTCGGACATCCGTCCTTCAAGCTCCAGCGGGGGTTACTTGGGGTGTAAGGTTTCCGAGCACCCGCGCTCTGTCTGGCGCGTTGCAGTCGACTGTGCAATTCATCAAATGCAATCTCCGACAGCTTCCGTAGAGATATCGGCATGTTTACGTGTACAGAGCTCAAAAACTCATTGTGTATATGTATTAATAACACGCATAAGTGGTTATACTTAGAGACCAGTTTTGCCGTGCTTTCGGTGCTAAGCCGCCATAAGTTGTAGTTTATTCAAACACGGTACAACACGCATTCGTGATCATTTAAAGCTTCACGTGTGGCGGGAATTTTAAGAACGCAATTAATTATTGTTTACAAATTAGCTCAAGCCTCCAGAAGAGAGTGAGTGGCGAGGCGATTCCAAAACCAATATTCAAATTTTCTCGCACTCGGCAATTGGCTGACGCCGCAGGTTGTTTAACTTTTAAGCCAAGCAGGCAATGATATATATATATATATATATTTGCGCGTTTATTTTTTTTTTTTCGGTTGGCTGTCGCGCGTTTAATCGTCATTCATTTCGCACCATCAAACTTTTTGTAATCCGCCGCGAGCAAGCTGTAAGGCCTTCATATACCGCCCAATGTTAGAACATGGTTGGATGGATGCTAATGGATGTACCCTTCATAACGGGGGATAGCTTGCGCCACCTAGCCTGTGTGTGACGTCACGTTTCGAGCGTTATCAGTAGAGCCGCCTCTCAGACGAGATTTGAAACTTCAATAGCTACGCGAGAACAACCATCAACTTCCCAGTTGGCGGGTTCGAATCCCGACTAAGGTGTCCGCATTCTGACGGAGGCTTAATACTCCGTTATATTTTGACTTGGAGCGTAGCAAACGCGGCGTAACACAGCGCGGACAGATACTGATTGGTCGCAGATATCGAGCTCTTGCTCGCCCGCCAGTGAAACGCGCGCGTTCTACGCTACGCTGCCTTCGCTGGGCTCAGCGTCGTAGTATAACAGACCCTTTAATTATTGCGGAGAAGGCTCCGTATGACCGAGCTTACGGTTGCACGTCGAGAGATCCCCCGGGTAATCCAAATCAATCCTCGGTCCTCCGCTGGGGCGTGCAAGGTGCACTTAGATGGTTTGACACGTAAAAACCCCAAATTGGGCTTTCTGGCCAACCAGGCGCTATCAAATGTTGAAGTTCGGTTCACTCGTGCATCTCAGCGTTGATGTTACGCGAACTCAGCGTTGTCTCTACGGGTATATTTCAGGTTGGAATGATTAGCGGGCAGACGCAAAGCTTTAGCTGCCTTTGTCTCTGTACTGGCTGTTTGAAGGCGGACGCCAAATGCCGGCGTTAGAACGGGTTCGAAGAGTGACTATAGAGACCGGGACAGCTAGTTTTTCGTCTGCCCGCTGATCCTAAAGTCCCTTGATACTTCTTTTATAAGTAGCGACAACCCATACAAATGACAAAGCACATATAGCGGCATTCAGTTCAAACTATAGATAAGAGCTTCCTACAAGTAGCGACGTTCTTTGAAGCGCCGACTGCGTAACGGTGCAGGCTTTAGGAAGCAAATGGCGGCGTACCCAGCAGAGGTTTGAACTGAATGCCGCCATTTCGTTCCAGCGGAATGTGCTTTGTCATCTGTATTGGTTGTCGTTACTTGTAAAAAGGAGTATCAAGGGACTCTCTTTCAAACTTCTGCTGGGTACGCCGCGATTAGCTTCCTAAAACCTGCACCGTCACGGAATCGGCGCTTCAAAGAATGTCGCTACTTGTAGGAAGCTCTTATTTAGGGACTTTACACTAATCATTCCAACCAGAGCACGATGTTCCGACGTCCCCGCACCCTCTCATCTCCTTTTTTCCCTCGGACTTTGGACTGCGGTGTATATGTGAACTCGCGTTACGCTCGTAAATTTGTATTTATCGTTCCTTATTTGCTATTCAGGGCTTCTTTGTACTTAAAGGGGCCTCTCCGGAGCTTTCTGAGATCGTCTGTTCATGTTGTTATATTGCGTAGTAGGTGCAAGTTGATATGTATAAAAAAAATTTAGATTACAAAACTGTTTATTAAGCAGATGGCAGGAGAAGTATATTGGGACTATTTTCTCCTGGAAGACAATCCCCCATTCCCTGCCTACCGCTAAAACTTGACAATGGAAATGCTGCATCTCGCGGTGAATGCGAACGTTATTATTGCGACACTTTTTAAGCTTGTTGCAAATTAGAGTTTCAGAAAAACGTAAACTGATTGTGGTGCGGGAAACATAGTTCGCAATTATCGTTCCAAAACCAGCGAACTATGTTTTCTCCTCGCAAGCTTGTTGCTAGGGGGTGATGCGTCGGGGCGTCGTCTCGTCTGCCTCCCGGGGCGTGTGCAGGCGAGCGTTTGCGGGACATGCGCATCGGGGTCGAATCATATGAAATGGCTCCCATGTCCGCTGTCCGTTCCAGAATTTCAAGCTCCATGGAGACGTCAGGTCTGAAAGGTCCATTGCGCGACGGTACGGTGCGACGACCGACGACTGCCGAGCACTAAGTCCGGGCTCCTTGACGACGGTCCGCGCGTGTTCGAGAGATTCCTCTGCGGGTCGGCGGTCGACCGCGTTGGTGACGCGCAGTGACGCCAGAATCCTTGGCTTGCTATTAATTGGCTGACGCGTAAAGAGATTCCCCTCCCATTTTCCGGGGGTTTAAAAAAAAAGGGGGCGTTCCGGGGACTTTGATAGCAATATAGCAATTTTAATAGGGAAATCCGCCACGCATGACCGTAATTTTATGATTTTTAGGATCCTTAGGGCCCGTAGATTGAGTTACCGCCATAAATAGACCATCGCAGAACGCTCCGGAGGGCTTTCGGTACTCGTGGCTCGCCTTCCACGAGAAGGTAAAATTAAGCCTATTATACTCCAATCAAAGTATCGATAAATTGGTGGATCCGTGGTCATCAGTTTCAAATTCTGTAGAGGGAGGGGGATTGGCCACCGACCTAATAACGCCGCCTCCAATGTATTGTGTTTTTGCTGTGAGTGCTGTTGACTCTGATGTATTTCAGCGTTTGAGAAGATACCCGCTGTTAGAACGGCGATCAAGAATTTCTTTTCGCGCTTTCACTTTGAAGTGCCCCCTGCCAAGACATGGCTCGTTTAAAAGGGGTTTTACGAGCCATGGTCGACGAACTGTGTTCTATGTCCGACTCCTGAAACGCTATACAGCAAGTTTGCTTTATACTGCACAGACGCCGAACATTTTTTGGGCAGAGCTCCGAGTGGTGCTGAGGGTCGACTTGTTCGTCGGCTCGAAAAGCGCGAGGTTTTTGAAGTTCGGGGAGCATCCCGACAACAGAGCATGGGATGTGTTGGTCCTTGGACTTTATGCTCTATGGCAATCCAGGGCCGAGCACCTCGAAGTGTCGGAAGGAGTGAAATCTGCATATCAGCACTTTATCGACTGGTTCGTATACGCAACCTCGCTTATTCAGGCGACGGAACAGCAAATGATGGAATGTTGAACAACTCTAGGAACGCGGTTCCAAAGGCGAACGTTAACTGCATTGCGGCGAAGGTGAATAACCAGGTTACGATAACTGACTTTTTTCGGAGCAGAAATTCTGAAAGCCCCGCTAAGGGGGGTGGTTGGGCTTCATTAGTGAAACTGCTTGTGAAGTGTGCGTTGGCCCTACGCTTTTTGAGTAGTGTTTGAAAACTCTGTGTTTTATAAAACAGTGCCTTTTTTTAGACCCCTGTACATAAAAATATTTTTTAAAGAAAAAGGGGGAAAAAAAGATCGGTGGCCGAGTGGGCTAGCGCTTATATCAGCTCGGAGCACGTGGAGCGAAAGCTCGCGCTGCAAAATCTAGGGATCCTGGGTTCAATCCCCTACCCCTGCCCGTTTCGATCGGGATGAGCATCGTGCCGGCCTGTGGTCGTTAACCACTACTGCGTGGTGCACGTTAAAGGCCCCAGGCTATTGGTTGTATTTGTACCGCATTGGCTAAATTTCTCATCTACAGCTTAGCGACATATCGCCCGTTGAGCTAGACTAAGTTCATGCTCTATGAACATACCCACAACCCCATTTTGTAGGCTTCAATACCGTAAATTAACACAATTACAACAAACGGGGGTCATTAATAATCTCCCATCTTTCTCTTTTCTTTTCCTTTTCGTCAGGGAACGACGGGACATCCGAAGGCAGCCATGTTGTCCCACCACGGGTTTGTCAACAACACAATGGTGTACCATTTCAGGAACCCCCTGGACACAGTAAGCCCTTCGTTTCATTCCCGTTGTCTCTCAGTGACGCATATTGCTGCAGTTTCCTGCGAACAAACTCAGAATAGACCAGTTGCAGAGATCCCCAAAGGCTACGCGCGAAGGCGTCTCCATGCACTCTAAAGAAAGCCCGTGCGTCTGCTTTCCCGCGCAACACTCGGATAGCCAATCACCGCAACTTACGGAGGCAGCTCAGCGAATGACGATGCCGAAACATATGTTTAGACCAAAAAACGCAGTCTGAGTTGTGACATTAAGCAATGGAAGCGTGACGTTTTGCATTGCTTAATGTCACAACTCAGACTGCGTTTTTCGGTCTAAACATAGGTTTCGGCATCGTCATTCGCTGAGCTGCCTCCGTAAGTTGCAGTGATTGGCTCTCCGAGGGTTGTGCGTGAAAGTAGACGCACAGACTTTTTTTAGAGTGTGCTTCCGCAGCACCTACCACATGGCAGCGAAGAGAGCGAGAGAGAAAGACAGGTAGCGCAGTTGCGCTCTTGACCTCACCTGGGTTACCTCCTCTGAGCGTTGGCGGTAACGCGTTACAAGTAACGGCGTTACAGGTAACGCGTACTCGTTACGTTTTTAAAACAGTAACGAATAACGTACTTATGTTACTTATTTCGAGTAACGGTTAATGCAGTTACGTTCCCCGTTACATCTTCTTCCATAGAATTAAAAGAAAGATTACTCGCATTTTCGTTTTCTTTGAGCCCGGTTTTTCTTGTAAGTATTCACGTAAAGCCGTAAAAAAAGGTAAGGCAATTATGTTAAGTTTCTGCGTGGACCTAATACGTCTCTTGAAATGTGGCACTTATCCATACCTGTACCGTCAAAACAATAAAACGTTTTAATTTAAATTTAAAAAAAAAGTATAGCAAAAGTAATTTCCGTTACTTTTTATTTTTAACGGTAACGCGTTCCTTTCATTCTCAGGTAATGCATTCGGGTAACGCATTCGTTTTATTTGTAAGTGATGATTGACGTATTTCGTTACTTTTGTTTTTCGGTAACGCCTACGACAATTCCTCTCCTCCCCCGTCGTCTCGTGCAGCGGGTTCTATACAGCCGATTCCCAGAATTCTCTTCGGCGCCACGGAGGCTCTTGCACGTTTGGCGAGGGATCTATTGGCATTGGAGCTAATGTTAGCTCATTAAAATTAATAGTTGTGTTCAAAACGTACAATCCAAAGCGTATCGCCTCACTCGTATACATGTACCCCCCTGGAGGCAATAATAATAACCTTCGTTTACCCGAGGGACCAAACTCGCGTGAAAGCATTTGAATCCCAACCCCGAAGTACGGGGTTCATAGTATTGTTGGCTGAGCCGATCAACTTTTGTAATCGGTTAAATTACTTGGAAAGAAAGAAAACAGCAGAGAAATCACTATTTCTTCTTTCTTTCTGTAAGGTGGTGACAATATGCAACCCGTTGCCATTCTTTCACGTGTACGGAATGACTCTCGCCCTGGGGCAACCAGTGGTGAGGGGGCAGAAAGCGGTGATCCCGAACCCCGGCTACGACACCCACGACGTCCTCAAGGCCATTCATACTTATAGGTGGGTAAGTGTCGAACCTTAAAATGCCCATAGGAAGAAGAAGAAAAAAGTTATGCTATTCACCAGCACGCGGCTTTGAGGTCGACTTGGAGCATGCCCGGACGTATCACTTGGCATGGATCTGAAACCCGATTCCAGAAGAGCAATTCTTGGGCTACGAAAACTTAGCTTAGAAGCTCCTAAGTTACGCACATCGTAAGGAGTGAGAAATCGATGTTCATTCGCGAACGTGTTCTTAAGTGAGAGGAGGAAAGCGCAGTTTTTGTACGCGAGAGCGGGGTGTTGCAATGGCGACAGCAGCCTCGGCAACACGAACAACCAATCGGAGAGCTCGGTCGACATCGTTAGGAGCACGCGGATTCTGAGTAACAACAAACGCAGGCGGCCTTTCGGCCAAGGCTTGTCTAGGGATCGTGTCCGTGCAGTGAAATGTCGACGCTACCACTATTTGAACGGGCCAGCATGCCGCGGCCGGGCTAATTGCCTTCGTCGACCGATACGAACTCGATCGCCACCAAGTCAACACAAGTATCATCGTTGCTAAAAGGAGACGGCCCGCGCCGCTCGTTTGCAAAGTGACGCACATGGAAACAAATCGCCGCGGTGTTTTTCGCGGCCTCGGGGACGCAGGAGTGAGCGGACGTCCAGGAAGATGCTGACATTCTCGTAGTTCGAACGCATCTTCTTAGACGTCGGATCGCTCCTGCGTCCCCGAGAGCCGCGTAAATAACCGTTCACACTGGAAGCGGACACGCGAGTGCTTGATCGAAGCGCTAAAACCGTGCTGTTGGACCACGTCATGGTGAGCGCTTCGGGAGCGATCATTTACGATTGCAACTCGATGCTGACGTGACACTCGGCAAAGGAAGGTTGGACTGGCATCGTGTAGTTCCCACAAGCTGCTCTAGCTCGACAGTGTTGACGTACCGTCGTGTCGGAATAAAAAGGACATACTAATAACAAAGCGTATGCGTACCATGTACGTTGCGAAGGTAATCCATAAGGCGTTTATTTGAGCTCTATGTCGATGACAGCTGTCCCTTTTCGGCGAGAGCGTTCGCCACCACTGCCTCCGAAAATAAGGCAAGGACAAAGGGAAGAGACTGACCTCTTAGCCGAAAATTAAGGTTAGCGATTAAACTCTTAATGCGGGAATGATTCACAAGGGTCGCGCGGGCATATTCCATTCGGCAAGCCAGCCGGTCGTGGGTAGGTCTTGGATAGGACCGCCGGACCAACTCTGCGTCTGAGTGCCCGTGCAAATTCGTCTGCTTCTTGCACGGGGATTGGAGTGACGTTAGAATACCGAGCTCCGATGGGCTCTTTGGAAGAATACTGGGTAGACCTCAAAGCAAGCTGCTTACTTACAACGCTTCCTTTACTTACAACGCTTCCCGGGCGACAAAGCACTCTTCTGTAGCAGCGGCTGTTTTGTGAATGCATTGCGCAGAAGACAAGGAAACCGGACGAAAGATGTGTGGAAAGGCCTGATCGCATACACATGCGGTGCTAACTATCCGCCAACTCGGCATTAACCCAACGCTGGCAGTGTATACGCCCATTCAAGGCTGGCTTTGCGCTATCTCGGCGCTGCGCCGCCTGTGTGAACCGGCCTTTAAACGGACTACCTTTCAGGTGTTCAGAAGTTGCTGGAGCTCCGACGATGATCACCGACATGATCAGTCACCCGGAGCGCAGCAAGTATGACCTCTCGTGCTTGACCAAAGGTTTGTAGAGTCTTGTATCACCCTTTGCTCCTTGCGAAAGCCGTGCCAAACGCCAAATGCATCTCGCCTGAAAACGTGCAGTCGTCATGGGAGGCAACATCGTCACTACAGAAGTGAGGAAACTGGCTGAAAAGGAGTTTCCTGGTGCTAAAGTGCAGGTAAGTTCCCGTTTGCATGTACACGATTACGAATCATGTTTACTGTTACATATATATATATATATATATATATATATATATATATATATATATATATATATATAAACGACAACCGTTGCTAATTTAAGGCCCGCGCTATTTCCGACATGCGGCAGTGACGTGGCACGTCATCTCAGCATGCAAATGTCGGAAAGGGCCCGTACACGAACTCATCTCTGTAACGTCACGGCGCGGTGGTGGCGCGTCGGTCGCACTTCCGGTCTGGGGCTGTGGGCAGAAGGATCCCCATGCCAGACATGTATTCCTGCGTTGTTTTGCGAGGAACCAGACAAAAACTTGTCTTCTCGTCAAAGCGCCGCGACTGGGGCCGTACCAAAAATGCCGAGAAAGGTTTGAAGGTCAGTTTTCACGGTCCCGGTTCGTCCGAGAATCTGGATATGTGCCGTGAAAAGGGAAAAGCAGACGCCGTCGGACAACGATTGCTTGGCGGGAAGCACTTTGGGTTGAATTCACGGATACTTGTGGTCATCAGATTTATTTGTTTTGTTCCAACATGAACGCCAGAAAACTGTCAAGTTGTGCGGACCACCTGTGGACTACGTTCAGTGCGTCTTCAAGTTCAAACGGCCGCCTGATTGTTCGAACTGTCGTCTGCTCTTTCAAACGTTTCTGCTCGTCGTCTGCTCTCTTAGACGACGCCGGTCCGTAGACCAAATGTTGGCCCGGTACTTGCGATAAGAAGTCAGTGCAGGCCTCAAAAGACTTAAATTTGAAGGTTGGTAAGCAGGCTCGATGTAAACAGTAGATACAAGGAAATGTTGGTCATTGTTACCAGTGACCAACACCGACTTTTTATGCCTAATTAAGTTGATCCGATTCTGCTTGCGATTTTCAGTATCGTCGTCGACCATCTCAGCTACGGTTCACGCTTTTGCAGCCCGAGCGGCGTCGCGACTGAAAATTCCGAGCGAAATCTCATCATGCGAATCAGGCTTTAGCGTACAATCTGCGGCGTCCACGCGAAATGAATCGCCACATGTCGCATTATTCACGCGAAGTTTTGCGGTGTAACGAGCCTCGGTAATTTCGCTGACGCCGCTCAAGATAGTCAGACATCGCCAGGAAGACGTAGAACCAATAATTCGAACGCGAAAAAGGGCAGGGGGACTCACACCGACGCCGACAACATCGCATTTCAATGGTTTGTTTATGGGCGACGGCGAGCTTCTTGCCCACACCCCTATCGCGCATGCGCGGCGCCGGTGGCGTCCGCTAGGGGCGCTCCGGTTTGTTTGTAAACATGAGTTAAAGCCACTTTTATATATATATATATTTATTTATTTATTTTTTTTTGTGAAAGTGATGTTATTGTTTGAATAGGATTGTATCGCGACTTCGATGGGGAGGGCCGGTTCGGTGGCCGATTTCTGAAAGCTCTACTCTAATCACCTTTCAGCATTTTTTTTTTATGTGATGGTAGCATTTTAGTGCTCCCTGTTCTTGTTTATGCGCCGAAAATGTATTGTAACTTATTACAACCAGCTGACAGGGCGACTTCAAAGAATGAAGTTCAGAGCACATAATATAACGTTTCTTTTAAACGTTTATTTAGATCACAAAAAAAAAAAAAAAAAGCCATGTGTTGTGTCGAAACGCACTAAACTCACGCTCAAGCGCGGGAGAGTGAGCTACACGTGCGGTCCTTCTCCCCTTAACACGCGCATGCACGGGTCGCGGTACAAGGCACTCGCTTGATGTGCCGCAGTCTTCTTGGGAATGCCTTGCAAGACGAAGGGGCGCACTGTAGACGAGGTGACCGAACAGAAGCGGCGACGGGCCGAGTGGGAACGCGCTCCATGCGCCAAGGAGACGCCGGAGGAGAAGACGGCGTTTGGGTAGTGGTAAACAAGAAGTGCTAACGGATTTCGACGTAGTCTGCAGAGCGAAGCACCGCAGAAACTGAGCACAATCGACGCAGCGCTCAAAAAACGGAGACGATCAAGTACTGTTGAAGAAGCTGAGGTTGGGCTAGTTGGTGAACGTTATGAAGCATGGTGTAAGGCGCAAAAAACAACACAAGGAAGGAGACACATACACAGGCGCCTGTGTGTGTGTCTTCTCCCCTGTGTCCGTTGTTTTTGTTTGTTTTTTTGCGGCTTACACCATGCTTCAGGAGACGAAGTAGAATGGTGTACAAAAGCCAAGCGGCTTGTCTTGTGCACACCCTTCTACCTCGTCGGAGTTTTGTACGCTGTGTCGAATTTACGAAGTGTGAACCAACTATCCTGCATTGCCACCCTAAGTGAGAAACAAAGTCCCGTTGGTAGGTGGTGAGTGCATCGCACACTATTGCCAACTCTCAGCGATGGCATCGCACTCCCTATACTCTGTTTCATACTTAGTGTATACAACGCTGTCAAAGCTGCTGACGCGAGCATAGGTTTGTCATGCCGGATCATTTCCACGCGTTCTTGCGCAAGCGAAACCAAAAACCACGCGCTCGTACCAGTAGATTTGACAGCTTTGTGTACTAAGTATGCGAGGGAGTTTAGTTTTTGAATACTTCACAATGAAGATGTGCTTGCTGACATCTTGTTCGTGACTTCAAGATCTTATGTCTCTCTTATCTAACATAATTAATTGCGCATCACAGACTCGCTACTGTTCTACGTCGATTATCCAGATGACAGCTATATTTATAGACGCCAGTGCACCCTCTATAGGTAGTTAAATTTCCGAATACATAAAAACGATCTTAAAGTTCCATCTTCACTCACTTGTTGATGTGCAATTCAAGGTCGAGCCTACATTTTTTTTTCCTCGGTCTCGGAAGGGTATACTTCGATAATTGCACGAACTCCGAGGTGGAAGCTGGTTCTCGAAGGCACGCGCGAAATTTACTTCCTCCGCAGACTGGTTACGGAGCGACGGAGACTACCACAGCGGCCACCCTGGTGAGTCATTTGGATCCGGAGAGCAAGAGGTTCAACACCGTGGGGCGACCGCTTGCGTTCGTCGAGGTGAGTTCGTGCGTGCGGGGCTCGATTTCCCTTGGTCCGCAGAGCTAGTCAATGGCCGGGCAAATCGTCGCGACCACCTAGTGAGCTTCACTTGAGAGTCTCGGCACTTTGAATGAAGGCCGCGGGTGCAGTTGGTGATCGGCGGTCACACTGCTTACACATCATACAAAAGACAGTCGGCCGACACTAGAGAGTTTTAGGGAACCGTTTTTGCGCATTCCGTGTGGTACTATGGGCCCTCCGGTACGCGCTGCCCGTGCGCTACCACGGAAGACTCGCTTATATGCAGTTTGTACCGGGGTACCCATCGCACCGTATCGGATGTGCGAAAACGGTTCCCTAAAACTCTTCGGTCTTTATCGAACACCGTGTCTTCTGCATGATGTGTACGAGCCGTGTGACTGCGGGTCTACCGTTCGAAAATACGACCGCGGGCTGTTTTTTTTAAACGTTTCTGGAGGACGGAAAAGCCGGTTCTTTGATTTAGAATAAAGGTAATCACGATTTCAAGCAGAAATATGACTGTAGTGCTCTAAGTATACGAGGGCGTTGCGTGAATCCTTCAAATGCTCGCCTTCGGCGCGCGCGCGCGCGTGAGGCAGGGTGGACGAATTGGCGTCGGTGAATACCTCTCTATAGTTCAGAATGACAACTTTCCGCGCGCTGTTTTGTGCAGTTGAAGATCGCCGACCCGAGTACCGGCGTGGAGACTCCCGTCAACGAGCCCGGAGAGATCTGGGTCCGGGGCCACAACATCTTTCTGGGCTACTACGGTGACGAGGAGAAGACCCAGGAAGCCATCACCCCCGCCAGGTGGTACAGGACGGGGTGAGTGGCCACGGCTGTCGGGTGGCTCTCGGAGTTGTTTCCAAGCTGAAGCATATAGGACAGGACGTTGTTTAGGGGCACTTTCGTTTCAACGACACTTATTTTGCTTTTTTGTCTTTTCTTTCGTCGTTACAGCGACTTGGGAACGCTCGACGAAGATGGCTACCTCAACGTTATCGGCCGTTTAAAAGATATGGTCATCAGGGGTGGCGAAAACATCTACCCCATTGAAATTGAAGCGGTCCTCAACACTCATCCTGCGGTCGAAGAATGCCTGGTTTGTTGACATTCAATTGCACGCGGCTCTAAATCGGTGCAGAGAACAAAGAGAACTCGCCGAGTTTATTATTGAAGACTGGTATACTCTAAGATCAATCTGGTACTGCACTGAACACCAACTCAGGTTGGTGACGTCATACTGGGTCGATGGCGCTGGCTGTTCAACAGTGCTTGCGCAAATGCTTTCCTTGATGAACAGTGGACTTCTGGGCATGCGCAGTGCCCATGGTTGTTGTGGAAGAATGCACTACAAGTCTCAGGGGTTGTCTGCACCGATCTCCTGGCTCTATAACGTGTCACATGACACCCCTGGCAAACATCCGTGCTCGGGCGGCCCAAAGTCGCGTGACGCGTTCGAGGCATGGAACTGGGTCGGACAGCTATACTCCGGTTCACCATGAGTCCATGACTACACTCTTAGAAAACAAAAGGTATGGATCGTCCTCCCTAAGTGGAGGAACGCTCTTGTAACCTATGTTCCCTCAGAAAGGAAGAAACTTTCGTCCCTGGAAGCAGGGGAGCAAAGTCCCTCCGTCGTCTGCATCTCATTAGGACGGCCCTGAATCGAGAAAATTGAGCTCAATAAGGCTTAATGAGGACGCTACGTCTATTGTATACGAGGCGAGAGGAGTAGCAACTAAAAGCGTAATACGAGCCTTCCGCAAACTGTATTTACTTCCGAAGCCGGCTTCCCCCCGCAGGTAAAGAAACGCGTTTTGAAAACAGTCACACACAGTCTTTTTGTCGTCAGCACTGCGATGTTGAGTGTAGACAACGAATACCCAGTTACTTCGCGCACTTTACGTCTTACCTTTGCTGTTTCTCGTGCAACTATTCCTTCGTCAGCACCGCACATCACGAAGGAGTTGTAAATCATTCGCGAAACCAAAAGTCGCTCTCAAATGAGCAAATTCGATGCAGCCTACTTGACTCGTTGTTGCACGGTAACCAGAACTATCGCGAACCGTGAAAGAAGGTTAAATCGCTCGCCACTAGATACGGCAGGGTCAAGCCGAGCAATTACAACTAGCTAGTTTAGGTGGCGCTAGGTACCGCCCAAATTCATGTGGTACAAAAATATTTTTATTTGCTCACGCCACCACTGCGCTTCGGGCACCATTATTATGCACATATGACATTCATTACGCGTACCACATGCATCAGCTAAACATATACAAGAAATGCATACACATACATGGCACATTAAAACATCAATACAACAGCACACTAACCCGATTACTACCTCTGGACTCTGCGTTTCCGCTTTTTATACGCGTCGTTTTGAAGGTACGGATTTTCTCGGGGACCACCTAAGCTATAAATAAAATTCACAGCATGTTGGTTTTTTTTTGTTTTTTTTTTGTTATAATGTCATATCTCTGAAGGTATTTTGAGCGCCTCGGGGGATGAATGTCTTAGAAAAAGTAAACGTCCATGCCGTAATTATTTGAGTCAATGAAACAAGTTGCTCCATTGCGGTTCCACGCCATGTGTTTGCTTCCCCGCACGGCACGACGTAAACAGTTTTTCTATCGTAGTATTTTTTTTTGTGCTGTTGGCGTGCGGTTGCGATTGTCTCGAATTAATTTCTGTAGGGGGGTATTAACTTAGCTGGAAGCGATGCTTGGGCAGAGAAATTGCTTTTCTATGAATATGAATGCAGTGAAAGCCGCGACTTGTATCAGGATTTAAGTTTACGGAGTTTCGCCGTGGTAAGCTCAAAAACTTCTATAGCGCTCCTCCCAGTGCGCCACTTGAAGGGCAGTTTGTCCAGGAGCCGTAATATATTTAAACAAAATAAAAATAAGTTTTTTTTTTTCGATTTTACTTACCATTTTCTTAATGCTAAAATTCTAAACTGTAAATATACATACTTTCCGTCATATTTCAAGACTGTTCAGTGCTTCCCCCAGAACGCAATCCCTCTCGGGGAGGGGACAACAGGACATCGCAGACGACAATCACATTGGCCACTGTACGATAAAAGCTACGGTTCAGACCAGCGTTCCAACATGACTATCCGCAGGTCGATAGATTGTACCGTAATCTCTCCAGCGGACTTTAATGAAAAGCAAAATGTCAACCTGCGACACACTGCCCCTTCCGATCACAGCCCTAACAGCGGCATCAATGACCGACAGTTTACATAATCTCATCGTGCTGTTACACCACGGTCACATCGGCGACAATTCCAGTCTTTGTTCACAACACATAACACTGCCATCGCGATGTTGCTGCTATGTTGCTGACACGCGGAAATACAAAACTACGTTTTGCCGGTTGACACTCGGCATCATAGATCAGAAAGGAATTCAGCACAGAAGACACGCAGGCACCCGGCAGCAAAACCTGCCTGTCTTGGACGCAGTTTCCGCGGTTTCCATAACGTCGTCAACGACGACATGTCGTTCCGCGATCCGGAGGTGGCCATCTTAGCCCAGCGTATGTAGCAGTGCTGGCACTGCACCGGAACTTCGGGGTTTATAACGGCTTCGTTTGCTCGTTTCACAAAATTAGGTGTAAAAACGTCAATGCAACCAAACTGTTCTGCACGTTTGAACTGGGAGACGGAGTTACAGGCGGCCTTCGCTTGCCGCTGAAGCTCAGTCAACTCAAAAACGTTGATTAACAACGCGTGCGACGTGCTCGAAAAATAAAACCGAAAGATGCTGTCGCTGGAGGGCGGAACATTTTTCCCGTCTGCCTGGAGGAGAAAAACGCCTCGTTCCTCCCTTCTTCTTGTGTCCGCTTGGGGGGGCGTCAGTAGAGGGGAGGAAAATGCGTCGGTACTACCTTTTTACTCCCTTTTTTTCCCTTCTAATAGTGTAGGTCAACGGCGAGGATTAAGGCCCCAATAAACCAATCAGCGCGTCGAAGTGGGGCGCGCGACAGAGTATCGTCGGTGTGCACTCCTCCTGTAGAGAGCTTCGCTCCGTTGCTTTGATTGGCTGGAGAGTACCGCGGCATTCGCTCTTTGCCAAGTTATAGCGAAACAAACTGTACATCTTCCGGCCCAATTCCACGCCTCCGCAGTCCCACAGAGAGCCTGGGGATTTTTCCATTCCTGCGATGTTGTACGGTCACGATTCTCGGTCATGGATGGTTCCTCCTCCCTGCAGGTGATAGGACTCCCGGACGAGCGGATGGGTGAGGAGTTGTGTGCTTGGGTGGTCCTGAAACCAGACGCCAAAGCCACCGATGCCGAATTGCAGGAGTTCTGCAAGGGCAAGGTACGTAAGCGCTTATACGTACTAGGAAGTTTCAGTGGACGATTCCGATAACCCGAATGACGATATCATGACCTACGTCGATACCCCGTTCTCAGCTGACGCCTTTGCGCAAGCATCGTATCGTTATCTTTATTGGAGGTATCGGAAACGATCTGGCTAAAACTGCCTACTTTCTCGGTCTTGCCGACTCGGGGACAAAATGCAATGGGAATGTGGCTAGAAGTTGGTTTTTCTTTTCCGCGGGACTGATGTGGTGTCGAATTTCGGCGCCGCCAAAAATATTGTCTTTCGGCGGCTTCGTAACATTTCTCGTTCGATCAGTACGGTTCATTCATCTGCATACCCAAACTATTGGACATAATATGTACTATATCGATAGATGAAGTCTCAAGTAAGTTTAATAAAAACAGCTTTCGTTCTTGAACCCAAGTTTAGCTAATACCGCAGTGCCGCGCATCTTTTGATTTTATTCTGATCTTTTTTTAATTTTTTTTTCCAGCTAAGTCATTTTAAGGTTCCGAGGTACTTCGTCTACGAGGCTGATTACCCAAAGACTGCCATCGGAAAAGCGCAGAAGAACCTGATGCGCGACGCTGCACGCAAGAAATTTAACCTCTAATGGTTCATAAGACAATTCTAGTGTTGTTGTATTTTTTTTTTTTAATCCACGTTACCCTCCTCTTGGGTGGATGCCTGCCCACCTGCCAGAGTCTACGATGTCTTCCAAGAAACCTCGAGGACCATACACTTTAGAATGGAACTTAGCTTGATATTGGAATTTTTCTTGTGTAGAATAATCGCTTTGGCATTTTTATTCTAGGTTTATACACATTTCAACGATTCTCAGATTGAGCAACAACTTCTTTATCGAAAATTTTTTACAAAGTAAGAAACTTCTGCAACATAAAAAAAAAGGAATAGTTTTTTTTAATATTTTGCAGTTCTCACATGTCACGAAACTGCCTGAAAACAAAGTGATGCGATGGGTTTTATACATGTTTGCCCGGGTTAGAATTTGCAGTTATATTAGAGTGTTTCGAGATATATTTTTGGTAAAAAAACTTTACACAAACTTTCCGGATTTGTTTTTTATGCTCTATCGATTTTGCGTATATTTTTTTATGATATGATTTCTTGGAAGTATATCTCTCAAGAAATAGAAAGTTCTACAAGATTCAAGTGAACCTGTGAATATCCGCGGCTTGCAATGTAAGTTTAAAAGTACGCGATAAAAATTGGAGAACGCAAAATGTTGGCTTTGTTACATTTAAGTAATTCTAGTCAGGCGAGAAGACCGACGTAACTTTTTCTAGACGTTACACCCTTAATTGCAACAGGAAGGGTACTTTTTCTTTAATTCAAATTAAAGAATAAGAGTGTTTACCTGTTATTTCTCATCTGTTTGGTCAGCGGGCTCCAAACATGCCAGCTTCGATTTATGGTTCAATCAAAGGGAACTTGTTAAATATCTCATTTATAATAAAAAGAAAATGCGCGTTCTGTTTTTATCCAGTGCTTGGAAGTCATTGTAAATCTTGTATAAAAGTTTCCAATTAATTGTCTGTGTTCTGGTGATTAAATCGGGCACTTTTTCAGAGACTGAGTATAATTGGACCGTAGATTTCCCGGCGTTCACTTATAAGGGAAATCGGCGGATGTTTTTCGGTGTTCATTTTTTTTTTTTTTTTTTTTAGTATATCCATGTATTTCTGAGATCTGCTTCGAATGAACGCTAAAAATGGGATTATCGGTGGAAAATAGCATGAAAGACCAAGAATTATAGTCTAAGGAATGGAGAGTTTAAATAGAAACAGTCCTATGCTGTAGCAGAAATTTTGATGAATCAGTGGTTTGTTTTTGTTTGAATTGATTTTGCACTTCTAACACTGCCGAATATGTTTATCTGTAATTTTTAAGACTTTTTTTTTTAAAATATGGATTGACGTTTATTGATTAGAGCCGGAAGTATATACGGCTTATGTGTAAAAGTTTTCTTCCTGGAAATAAGCAACCCTCAGGGCTAGTTAGTTTTCTGGCCAACAAGTCACCTCTGTGATCGTGGTTCTTGTAGAAGATCAGTTGAAAGTGCATGAATGCTTCCTCGCCCTACCGACAAATTTCTTTTTTAATCTTCAACAAGTGATCAGTGCATATCTCCCCCCCCCCCCCCCCCCCCCGCCCCGCCCCTGGCTGAGAGAGCTTGGGTTTACACCAACCCTACTAAAAAAGAAAACAAATAGTACCCTCGTTACATTTATATGTTGGCCACAGTGGTTCCTATCGCTGTAAAACGAGCCGGAAAAAATGGACGCTTGCACGTAGAAAGCTCGAACTCTAACCGAATGCGGATCTGTGTGGTGAATTTCACCTGGTGAAATTTCGACGCGCGTAGCTGCCTTTTTGTGAAAAATGAGACCAACAAACTTGCCAGAGTCAACTGCGCACGTGTTCGCAGATGATGGAGTTAGCGGTGGTTGTAACGCGTAGCGCCATCTCCAGATAGGCGCAGCGAGGAGATGCCGCACCGCTATCGTCTAGTCGTCGATGGAGCGAGCGCTCCGTCGTCTGCGTAATCGGCGCGAATATGTTTTTTTTTTTTTTCTCGTTTCGGTTTACAGCCGGAAGGATCCACTGTTTCCGCCCTATATTTTCACAAAACCAGCACGCTCCAATCAAATGCACACCACACCAATGTCCGTTGCGACGCCAGCGAAATCGTCTGTGGACGAGTTTATAGGAGTTTGATAGGTGTGACCATACCCTTACGCGTGCAAACAATAGTAGCTGTATCGTTTAATGGGATCGAGCTGTGGATAAAGCAACTTATCGGCTATCAGTGCGAACTGAATCTGATGAAAGGTCGCTCTCAACAACGCGCACGAGGTGAACGCAAAATTTGTTTTGGCACTGTGCTCAGCCTGAAGAGGACTCGGACACTGAAGGGTATAGCCTACCACGGAATTCTAAGCTAGTTTTCAGGCTGATAAGGTTTGGCGTGGAAGATCGGACTGCTCTTTATATTCGGATTAGAGGTGGTGGGCACAATGGAACATTGTTATTTCATAAATGATGGTTTTGTGGAGATACATGTTAACACCGTCTGTGCAGTGCCGGAATGTGTAAATAGATAAACAGTCGTTTACATTTCGTAACCTTGTTTTGTTATGTAAAGTTTGTGTAATTTTTTTGAAACTCTTAGGGATTATGTTTAGAAGAGATTTTGAATTTCAGTCATTTTTTAAACAAAGGAGCCACGAGCAACGAGCATGTGTTCATTTGTGCGCTATAAAAGTTGCGATTAATTTTGATAAGAAGTATAACTTTATTCGGTGCAGTTCTGGAGCAATGGTGCAGCGAAAAGGTGGCAATATTTCAGCTTGTCCATCCCGACTCCTTTTTAGGGTGTTTAATGAATGGTGTAAATGCTTTTTTTTATGAAGTAGCTTAGCATGGAAGGCGATTAGCTCTCTTGAGTGACGAAATGAATGCGAATTGTCCAGGTAATATTAGTATTATATGAACCACTGAATATTTGTGTGAGTCTACCAACCCCTCATAGATAATCTATATAGTAGACAATAGAGGAAGTGTTGGTCCGACTACTCGAGAGGGGACACCATCGAGGTGATATGAAGGTAAGTTGGAGCAACAAGAGATGCGCAGCAGTTATCATTTAGCGTCACATGACGTGTCGCAGCAGGTAGCGATAGCGTTGATATCAATCTGGAGCGCACGTACGTCATTTTTACGTCGGTATATACCTCCCCCCCCCCCCCCCCCCAAAGAAAAAAGAAAAGTAAAAAAAATTACAGGAGGACACTTAAAGGTCCCCTGAAGAAAAAGAAACTCGTTTTTTTATATAACAATTTGGTTGGGACACGTGTGTCGGAAAATAACTCTTACGCGAAAAAAAAAAAACGTTTAGAGCAATATTGACGGCGAGAGATTTATTTGAAATTGTGCGCGCAAAGTCCATGACGTCACGGAGTGGTCATTCGCTCAACAAGATGGTCATTCGGTCTTTCCGCCTCAACGTGAAGGCGAAGCCGATTCACCTCTCCTCTACGCCCGAAATGCCGAGAGAGAAAACAAGTGGGAAGGAGCTGACTACCGACTAAATCGCGTCTCGCGCCGTCAATATTACTCTAAATCTTTTTTTTTTTTTTTTTCGCGTAAAATTAATTTGTTGACACGCGTGTACCGCGTGTACCACCCAGACTGTTAAAAAAACAACTTTTTTTTTTCTTTAAAGGGGCTCGTTAAGACTGCTTACGTGTAGGAATGCGAAAGCATTCTAATTCCACCCGGTCTCCTCATAGTCCATCGCACGAAGCACACAACGAGCACAGATGAAGTTCGAAGCGCACCTTGTGCACGCGGCGCTCCGGCGGTGATATCGTGGTCGCCACTGCGCAGGCGCGGCGCCCCCGCCGGCTTCGCGACTTCCGTGACGAAGCATCTGCGTTGCTGTGCTTTTCTTTGTGCTTTATTTCTGAGGCGCGTCCGCTTTGACCTTGAGCGGCGCGTGCTTGACGTATTTTTATGGCCATCTTTCGGTCACAACAACGCCGCCTTTTCCAGTAATAAGAATTATAAAGCTTTCACCTTTAAAAAAATGAATTGGTCTTTTTCGGCCACTGTACATCGCTATCCGATTCATCGTATGTTCGAGCGCAGTCGAAGGTACGTACACAGTCGTGACTATACAGATATCGAAAGCGCAAGTCGCTATGCCTTTCCTGCACGTGATTGGTTCAGCTATGATAGAACACTATGACTTAGCAATTTGATGCTGTTTAACTGGTTGACATCGGCTACTGGCGTCGCTTGCCTCCGGACTTAAGTTAAAACGTTGTTTTCCCCTTCTCTGGTATGTATCTGCTGTTTATGCAGAATCGTAATGCGCCAGTATACCAACGAGAGGACGAGCACGACTGGGGCGGTTCAAGAGAGGACTGTTAGATAAATAACCAAAAAGACAACCTTAGGAAAAAATTACCGCATCTCCACGTGGTGAATGATGTTGATTGGGGCGAAGCTCGGGTGGTGCTGATGATACTGATTTTGGTCATAGGTAGTGCTGATGGTGCCGTTTTCATTCATGTCAGTAGGAGAATGTGTGGTTTTCTTCTTTTTCTTTTTTTAAGAAGACGGATGGGATGGCAGCTCAGAACCCCCGACTCTTTTTTTTTTCTTCTTTTTCTTGATACCGATTTTGGTCATAGGTAGTGCTGATGGTGCCGTTTTCATTCATGTCAGTAGGAGAATCTGTGGTTTTATTATTTTTTAGATGCGGAGCATCTCTTGCTCGGGTCTATGTCCCGACCGCGTCGTAGTCCGCACTCACACTACGCATGCGCAACTCTCCTCCTTCTCTCTCTCCAACAGCTGCGTGTTACTCTCTCCGCTCTCTCTCTCTAGAAGCTGCGTGCACTTCGCGTGCGTTCGCTTCTACTCACACCGCGCGCGCATGCGCAACTCTCCTCCTCTAGTCTCCTCTCATTCAAGCGTGAATATAAGCAGCGGTAGCGCGCTGCGCGCATTCAAGGGGAGGAAGTGTCCGAGTCGGCCAACGCGTCTCAGCTCAAAGAGTGGAGCGAAAGCTTGCGCTGGGAACCTCCTGGGTTCGAGTCCCCGCCGCCCCCGCCCGTTTCGATCTGGATGAGTTTCGTACCGGCGCGCGTTCGTGTAATCACTACTGCGTGATGCACGTTAAAGACCCCAGGTTAGCGGTTGTACTGCACTGGCTAAATTTCTCATATACAGCTAAGAGACCGATTACCCGTTGAGGCGCATCTCCATCAAGGCTGTATAAACATAAAGAGCAAACCAATTTCTGCGCGCGTTCACTTCACCGCTGTTGACTCCACTTCACTCCGTTCTTCCGGTGAAATGTGATGGAACGATGCTCCGCATCACCCCGTGGTTCCCCTCGGGAAGCTGGTGTAAAATTTTTTTAAAAGACAGATCGGATGGCATCTCAGAGACCCCTATTGTTTTTTTCTTTCTCTTTTTTTTTTCATCTTTTTTATTTTTTTTTGTTCTTGCTCTCGCTGCTGAACTCACCAGCAGGAGCTCGTGAGCTCCTGCTCGTGAGCTCCTGCTCGTGAGCTCCTGCTCGTGAGCTCACGAGCAGGTGCACGCCGGACGTTTTTTTCATTTTTTTTCTTGCTCTCGCTGCTGAACTCACGAGCAGGGGAGGCCGGACGGCGGACGGACATAAGGACATGGCTAGCCTCTAGGAGCTTCGCCCCTAAAAGGAGCTAATCCGATGCTAAACCGAGGCTGTGTATCTGCTCTCGATAGCAGTGCTTACTTTCAGTAAAGGTCATGACTCATATTCCGCCGATTACAAAGAAGCTAAGCATCACATGTCCCCGCATTTTTAATTCAAAAGCCTCCCTTTGTTTATTTACTTCTGTTTTAAGGTAGCAATTTGGGATATTTGGTTCATGATCAGCTAAAGAAGAGCAAAAATTACAAGGACGAGGAAATAGACAAGAGCGCACTCGCAAGTGGTTTTTATTTGTGAAAACAATCATATATATAGCTTCG